CTTATGAAATAATAGAGAACACCTTATTTTTAGTCGAATTAAAACCGTTCGATATCTTTACGATAGTCTTATTTTTTTCAAAACCGAGAATCGATTTCTTAGATCTATATCGATTAAGAATTATCTTATATATAATCTTTCGCGTAATCCCCCCTTACTAATATAATCTTAAAGACTTTTTAAAGTTATATTAGTATATATATAAATTACGCTATTATTATTACGAAATATAATTAATATTAGTTAAATAATATATTATAGAGAAGACTATATTAAAGTTATTTAATATTAAATTAGAGTTTTTAGCGTCTACGACTTAATTCGGTTCGGAAGCCCTTAATTAATCACGTCGCATTATTTTATCGATATCTTATTCGCTTAAATACGGGTTCGGAAATCGCTATTATTTACTCCTACGTCTATAGATACGATTTTCGCTATACTATATCGATTTCCTTTCGTCTAAACTCTCTATATACGTTTATATCTTAGCTAGCGACATCGCTATAGTATAAGTATAAAGAGCTACTATCGTTTTTAATATCTCTTATAAAGAAAGATACGATATTAGAGTTCTCGAATACGATTATTTCTTTACTACTTTTATTATTTTTTAGACGTTAAGCGTGCATATATACCCATTTTTCTATCTTTTTACTTATTAATTATAAAATATAATTTAATAAAGGAGGAGGATAGTATTACGAGCGTATTCTTAATATATTTCTTAGTTCTATAGCTAGCGAGCCTTAACGGAGGTATCCTCTATTATATTATATCTTCTTCTCATCTATATAATTTAATATCTTAGTTATCTTATTTAATATATCTATATTAATATTATATCTATATCGATTCTAATAATAACGACGATCTAGACGCGTTAGAGTACGTGTTATAACTTTACTTAGTATTATTAAGATTACTCTTATTCTTCTTCTATAATAAGACTATATCGTCTTTTAAGAAAATCTCTAATAGAGTTTAATTAATATCTTTAGAATTACTATTATATCAATTCAGCTTCTTCTAAATATTCTCGAAGTCTCTATATTACGAGGGCTAGCGAATAACGCGTTCTTAAGAGATTAAATTTTTTTAGGTTTTTTTTTTTTTTTTTTTTTTATAATTATTATTAAAAATATTTATTTTATTTTTTTTTTTTTTTTTTTTTTTTTTTTTTTTTTTTTTTTTTTTTTTTTTTTTTTTTTAAAAAAACACCATTCGTGTTATAAAGACGATGTCGATACTTAAGTAGACTGAATTAACAAATAAAGCTCATTAGCTAAAAAAAAAATACTTAAATTACTAATTTAAATTTCTAAACAGTAGTTTGAACATGTCCATCCTGAGCGCATTTTCTGCCTCCATCCAGCAAAACGAAAGAAGACAACGGCAAGACTCGCACTTGCGCTCCCGAAGGAATCTGGATAGCAACCAGACCTGTCACATTGTCTTGTTCGGTGTGAACACGTGGCTTATTATAAGTAATACTCTCCAAAATCGTGGGCCGATTTGCAGCGAGGTAGCCGGTTCTATCTCAAATCATTCCATTTCATTGTAATAGAGTACGGTACACCCTCACAATGAGAATCCAATCTTTGAGTCAGGCAGCCTCGTGGAGATGCGGTACTCATCATTGGCGGATCACTGGAAAAAGGATGAAAAGGGCGCTAGGGTGATGATCATCACAGCATCGATAAGCAGATGCGAGTTGGAAAGGGTCTTCATATGACGATGAGGCTCCGATGGAGAAGACCGTATTTTGGGCAATGTTCCAGCCTTCATAAGAGCAAGCTCCGAACGGAAGGCAAGTGCAAGGAACCACATCTACAGAAGGGCTAGAACAGTATATATATCTGGTAAGCCGAAGCGCACCAGTGTCAAACCAGTGGTGGTGGTTACTTGGCTCAGACTAAGGGGCTTGATGGAAAGTTCCCAATCCCTGCCCTAAAATTGCGCTGCATAAAGCGAATAAACTTTCACATTCCTCTCCCCTTAGCGCCAATGTAAACCAGAACAGTCGCGTCTCCCTTCGCTGTTGATCACAACACGCACCTCTGCTCAACGGTCAGCCAGGAGAAAACACGATCGGGCGATCCAGTCCTCACAATCAAACAGCAGCGTTCGCCTCATCCATCAGCGTTGCAGACCAAGTCGACGCAAAATTTCTCGCAGCAATCCGAGTCCACTACGCAAACGTCTTCGCACCATGCATTAGCAGCGGTCCGGACAGCTAGGTTGCGAAGACTTGCTTGTTTCTTTCGCACAGAGGGAGTTGACTTTTGGCTCAAACGCTGGGGCCATGTCGGCTATCTGGGCAAGTGGACCTGCCAATGCGGTTGCGACAATGGCCAGGATGACTGTTAGGGAGAGCTTCATGGTGGAGATGCGAGGCTGAGGATATTGGGTGTGGGGTCTCGGGTCTCGGGTCTGAAGTGTTTGAACGGTAATAAGAAAGAGTGGCTGATAGGAAGTGTTGGCTCTAGGCTTTTTTTCGGAGCGAGAAACGAAGGTCTGATGCGGTGACGTAAAGAACAGTGCTTGGGGGCCGCGCGGGCCTGGGTCTTTATAGAGAAAGTGGGAAATTTGAGAGGGATTTGCATCGTCGAGCACCGGCGTAGCATTCCTCGATCGCACATCTATTGATCTGAGGATCGGGAATGTACACAGTGAACAACAATCGCATTGGAAATGTGTTTAAAATTGACACAGCTGATAATGCTAGAGCAAATGGGTCCAGAACATCGTTGAACAAGAAGTTCCAAATTCCGTCTTTGGTGTGCCATAATGTTCTCAGAGGTTTGTTTGTCGGAAGTGGCATTGAAGGAGTTGAACGAAAGAGAATACGAGGAAGCGAGAGGGCTGTACCGATATCTTGCATATAATGAGTGAGATTCTAGACCCTGGAAATCGGCCTACCATGCAGTCTGACCTTGCATAGCATGGTAATTGCATTCCTCACATACGGGTCGCATGAGAAATTAACACCTTGGCTTCTACTTGCAACGTGACTTTAAATATTGAGCCGCTGCAAGTTCTCGTCTCCGTTCCTGCATCCTCCAGCGCTGCTTCACATAATGGATTCAGACCATCCCCGAACAGGAGTTTCTCGACTGACTGGCTGGTTTCGCACTCCCAACAGTCAAAGCCCGCTTCGAAGAGCTCGGTGACGCGCCCATGGAGAGCGGCCAATTTAAAAGTTTCGAGAGGCAAGGCGTCTTTGATAGATTGGAATATGTTCTTCCAGAAACCTCAAACTATTTTGATATCATGAATTGACATATGGCGGATCCTTTGTGAGTTTTGCAGAGAAGTTGTCACCCCCGCTTCCGTGATGGCGAAGCAACTCAAGCCAATCCTGACAAGTTTGGGCATCTTGCAGCCTCCTAGAATCATTTTGAAGGTCGTTAGTATGTCGTCGTCCTCTTTCGATTGGACATCGTTGCCGATCATCTCAAATTTTAGTTACTCCAAATTGATCATGCAGATAATGTCTGGGCAATTACCCGTTCCGTATAGAGCTCATCTACGGGACTTTGGTGATCTCGACATTATGATGCAAATGAAGGTTCGTCAAATTTGGCAGGACTTTGGCGCCGCATAAGTTCTGTCGAGGCGTCATACAGAAAGCGCTGGTGACCGGTCCTAAGGTACTATCCCCACCCCCTGTGACATTTGATTCGACCTTAGTATTCCCTGAAGTGAATAGCGCTCGTAAGAATCTCGGGTAGTCGTTCGAATTCACCTTTTCTAGTCCATTGGTGGATGTGAAGCATTCGTGATTGGGTGCAGGTCTCGGAGATTTCAGTGGTGGATGATCCTCGTCCCGGAAGGGAATAAACGTCTGCAAGCAGCCACCAACATAGGCTTGGTGACACAGGCATAAACCTTGTTCACGACAGACGTTGGTAAGAATAACCTTTTGTAGATTAATTGGTACGATCAGGGAACTAGAGAGGTGTCCGAAGAGTTCTCCCTCTTTCAGGAGGTCCTCTGACTCTTCTGTTCGATTGCAATAAGTGATGTAGTAGGTCGTGGCCAGGTCTTTGTTTTCTTTTCCATGACAGAAAGTTTCCCATGATACGCCGCCCTGTTCGAACTCCTCGGAGCAGAAGATCAGAGTCTTAATGAACGGCCCGAACCGTGACGCAAGCAAGATGGCTTTCTCCACATCAACATATCTGGCAGTGACGAAGATCCCATCGAAGAAAGATGCGATTGCTGCTGCGTCGAAGGCCTTGCAAACGAGGCGTGCTTTCTTCAGGTCGATCTTTGGCCGGTAACACAAGATGGCGGAGAGGATCTCTGCTGGGGAATACATCGTGGTAGAGTTCTTCGCCTTGAAGCGATCTGGACCAGTGTATATGCTTCGATTCATTTGGTGTCCAATGCCTCATCGCATGTCGTTGAGGTTTCAGTAGTGAGGGGAAGACGATGAACAGCGCGGGTTCTTTTCTTGTCGTCGCCGAGGAATGGTTCAATCCTTTGACTATCTTTTGCTGATCTCATCGCTGTTGCACCCATCACAGAGCTTTCTAATGTGGATATGATAGCGAGGCACGACTAGGAGTTGAACTGAAGGGGCTGAACTTCACTTGTGATGACACCATGGCCGATTTGGCTGTGAGAGCAGTACAAAAGCAACATTGACGTCTGTCTGTCATGCTAGACACGCCGAGAGCTCATACAAGCTCTAAGTGGCAAACAAGATTGCAGGATCCAGGTAGGTTAGCGGCTGCTGATTACATCACCCCAAGATTTCCCAGAAGTCCAGCAAGCACACGAGAGAAGCCACGCAGAACAGGAGAGACGGGCCGGGGATAGAAACATCCTCGTTTTCTCTGACATGTAAAAAGCTTCAGTACCATGCTCCGCCTTCCTGTTGCGGGCTGTCCTTACGAAGCTGAACTCTCGACAGAGGATATCGGGGCGGTCGACACTCGGAGCGATGGTCAGAAGCTCCGTCGAGTTGGAGTGGGCTTGGTGTAAACAGATCGATGAGGAATGTCTCGAATGTTGTACCCGCTGGCGCCGAGTTCTTTTCCAGCAGGCAGCACGTTGAATCGGAGATAAGATGGCGGCGAAAGCTTCATCGAGAATTAGCACAAGCACATTCCCTGCCGACGGAGAGGCCTCAAACTAGAGATTCTGTCCGCTTCCGCATCAAAGACTGCCCCGTCGCGACGGTTCCAAGCAAACCCTCTGCGCGGAGTATACTCTCATTCCATCTCCCCCGATATTGCAACGGCACAGAAACCTCAATGATGATGTCCAGCCTCGACAAGCCGGGGTGCGGTGGCTTCGTGAGAACCTGGACCGACAGCTGCGACACACAGCAATGTATACACTGCTATCCACGTCCTTCTGAGCCCTCTCTACAAGCCATGCTGATGTAGTCGCTCTCCAGTGCTTACCGACGGTGAGGTTTGATGCAGGCTTGGCGAAAGCTTGGCGTCAATTTGCGAATCTCACTTCTCGAAGCGCAGCAAGTCTCGTAGGATCAGTGCGAGCATTGATAGAGCTAAATTTCACTACTCTAGCACGGGATGTTCCATAACAATGCTTCTTTGTGCTTTCTTTGGCTTCTCCACGACATAGAGCTGAGGGACAGGTGGTCCTCACTTGCACAAGTCCTGATATCGATGCACAATTACTGCTTTTCCTTGATGATCCATCTGTCAAGATAAGGTTCCCAGCCTCTTCCCAGCCACCTGTTGGAACAACCACCTAAACTGCATGGGGTACAAATACTGGCCCAGGGAAGTCCCGAGATAGAACAATTGATGCAATCTACACATCACATACCTGAATTTTGACACGATCAAGCTGTGTCAGCTAAGTATAATCTCCTATCCAGGCATCGGTCTTCCATGCCAACGTCTAGACACATCAAGGCTGCCAAGTTTCCAATCCATTCCAATCCAGTTGCCAATCTGCCGCATCCAACATCGCCAAGTCCCATCCCCAGAGCGTATCATCCCACTCATGCGGTATGAACTGCCCCTGCGAACCCGACCCTGGATCCATTCGTCCATACCCTGCAGTGACCGCGGAGGACGCTGGAGCATCGTGCATACCGCGTTCATCATGCCCACCTATCTCCTGCTCCTTCGCCTTTGTTTCTTGTCCTTCATGCGGTGGAGGCTGACTCAAATCGCTAGCCCATGACCTGCTACCTTTTTCACTTTTGAGCACGGCGATCTTGAGCATGCCATCGTAGAACAGCGGCGCGCCAAGCCGGCTCTTTATCTGGGCCTCGGGCGGTAGTCGACGTCCCGAGTTCATGAATTGTCCCACAATTTCAATATTCTGCGCCAGGCGCATCCATTCGCTCTCGGCGCCAAGGGCACAGCGCATGAGTACGGTGTGTGCGAGGCGGATGTGGTTGCGGGCGAGGTCTTGATCAGGGATCGAGGCGGTAGGGAGGGTAGCGAGGAAGTGGTAGAGGGTCAGGGCTGCGTAGTAGAGGGTGAAGAAGTAGTATTTTGGAAAGTAAACCTGGGATGGGATGTCGTCATTGATGGATGTTGAACGCTGCATGTCAGCTCTCGAGCCTGGAGATGGTTGCATGGGGGTTTTCAGACTCTGAAGTTCACTGAACGCGTGTATGTAATTGGTAGCGGAGCTCAATGCTTCATGGAAAATAAGCTTCTGCGTGACGTTCGGCTTTGGGGCTGTTCTTGGAACCGGTATGGAGAGCTCGTTGTCGTGTAGGTGGCCCTGGAATGACCAGCCGAGGAGGAACAACTTTGCTCCCAGGAATTGCAACTCCGTGTCCGCTGTCCATTTGCCAGCGCTTGTGTTACGAAGGGTTTGAAGCTCGCCAGACGCCATCATGACAAGCGAATCTCGAACGGCGTCATCCGGTTGAAGTTGCAGGGCTTGCGTGAATTTGGCATATTGTCGAAGTATCTCCAGCTGGATACGGAAATGGTCTTGTATTATGAATTCCGACGCTATCTCAACAACCCCGCGTAAGGTAGGCTCGTCAGCAAGCGCTGGAGGCACACCTATGCGAGAGCTATAACTGTAGAAGGTCAGCGGAGAGAAGGCATGTATGGTTCAGAGAGACTCACGTAATGTTGCGGTGGAATATTTGGAGCCAAGTCTTTGATCGAAGCTCCACTTCTCTTGGTGTCGCTCTGGGAAAGCCGTATTCTTTCTCCCTGCCCGGCTCGTGCAACCCTAGAAGTCTAGCGGCGTTGGTAATCAATCCACAATAGTTCCAAGTTGGATCTTGAGGTTGTGATTGAACCGGGACTGGCCATGTAGCGAAAATCAGGATGGCGTGCATGGTAGATAAGCTGAGGATAGCCTTCATGAGACATGACCCGAGGAGTGGCTCGTATGCCTGAGTCAATGCTCGGTATAAAGATGAATATTGTGGATGGTATCTACTGGACGTAATGATAATCGCCCAGAATAGAATGGGAGATTCTTTTCGGAGTTCAAGCAACGATGGGGATGTATCCAGGACAACCCCGTGCCGATAGTAGTGTTGGCGGAAACTGTTCGATTGTAAGTCCTTTCCGCTGGTAGATTATGGTGCTAGTACTGCTCAAATAATTGGACAATAGCCATTCCACTCAAACGGATGTCTCCCAGAACTTGTTCGCCTATCTCAAACGCGCTCTGCTCAAAGACCTCGATTCTGAAGAAAGTGGGTACCTGAACATCAACGGAAGTTGATCGTGTGGCTTCCAAGCCCAACAGGCCTGCTTCTGGTGAATGCGAACTTGGAAAACTCCCACCAACTTGGTTGGGGTTGGGATTTCGTGGAGTCGATTGGGATTTGAAGGCCTCCTTCAGGCTAGTCAATTCAGAGGTGACTTCCTCAAGCTTGCTAAGAGCATCCATGAGCTCTTTCTAGATTTAGATTCTGGAACCGAGGGATCAGGCCTGACTCCATAGAGGCATACTTACTGCCTTGTGGGAACTCGTTTGAAGTTGATGTCCATCCTGCAGCCTAGCCCCTTGCTCGTACATCGAGAACAAGAAGCTGGAAAGGTTTCGGCCGAATCGCACTTCAACTGTTGTCTCGTCATGAAAAAAGGTACGTCGAGCAGTGAAAGCCAAAAGCAGATACCTTGACTTGCCTGCAGGCGGTACAGGCTTTGGCTCTCCCAGCACTCATCGGCAAGCCGGACTCTTCATCTTTCTGGGAGCCAGCTCTGCGCTTTGCAGGGCGCAATACGGCCGACACATACTGCCCTGACGACATTTGGTGATTGATGATAATACAGATTGATGTAAGGGAAGCGAGAGCGGCCGTGAATCTAACGACATCAGCGATAGGAGCTCGAGCCTTGTTCCAGGCGTTATGAATATAATGTCTTGGGATGTTGACCCAGAGCACGCGAAGCACAAAAGACCCGGTCAGCACTCAACATTTAAGTTTCTTTGCTGCCAAACGGCCAAGCATTGCACGCGTGGCCCATGTCAATTCTTGGGTATTCCCTTGTAAGAAATTTGACCTGTGTTGTCTGTTGCCTGCTGCTGCGGCTGATGCTAATGCTGATGCTGATGCCAACATGATCGACTGTGTGACTGCTGACAGTCATTACTTGGAGGGAACATTGTTGAGTTACACTGCCGGCTCGTGATGATCATTAGACTATCTTGCCAAGTACACAAGAACTTTTGAGGGGTAGTAGATCTTCAATGGTCACCGAGTGGCGAGAAATCGAGCGATTTTTAGATTGCTTAAAGCCGAGCATGCTTCGGATCTCCGAGCCACACCCGAGCCGGAAAATTTGAACCGAGTCGGCATTTAATTAAGGCCGCCGTCTTTCACTCTCATCTTCATCTATGACTTGCGTCTGCTTCCAAGCATTGCTTGACCTCGGCAATCCCATGGACTAGACCATAATGGCGAAATGTGTCGTCAGGAGACTCGACGATAGTGGCTGGGAAATCTGACTCTGCCTGCGTAGTTGACTCCGACACACCACGCTGGGAGCAATATATGCGTCCCTCACTTGCCTATCCCTAGACACGCTACCGATAGCAGCTTCTAGCCACGAGCAAGGTCTCGCGTTAGCGGTACGGCACAATCAGGAGAATTGGTTCTCTAAGAGCAGATCCGAGGACGTCGGCACGGGAGGCAAAGCTGGTGCAGAAAATATACCGGACAGCAAGATGGTTGAGAAAGATGGGACGAAAGGATAAGGCTGGGGAACGAAAGCTCTTCGACTCTGGGTTGAAGCCTGGAGGAAGGAGCGGATGCTATCCACTCCCAAGTTGGGCCAGACTCAAGGCAGTGGCGATTGGCGCATCGCATATCGACCCAGATTACGTGGCCAGATGAAAAACTACCCGGGATACTACATTATGCGTCTCGAATGGCCGATGAGCGACCAAAAGGCTATGGCAAATTTTGTGCAGCAATTACACGGCACAGGTCTCGGTTATCATCGAGCCAGAATATGAACAGGCCCTCAGCATCATACAGAGGTACAGTGGGCAGCTGAGTTCACCAGTTCGTAAGTTCCGATTCATCATTGATGTCGTCCTGTTCATGTTAAAGACCAACAGTATCGATGCTGGTGACAACCCAAGTCGATTTGCCACGGCTGATTATCCCGTCTAGGTACTAAATCACCAGCATGGAAGCCCTAGGGGCGCGTGAGAAAATCTGATATCTACGGCTACTGCAATTGGACGAATTGGGCTCCAAACTTTGTAGATTGACATGCCAGATCTTATCAAGTACAGACGTCGTTCTTCATACCGGTAGCATCCATTCTCGTATACAGATTTGTATTCTTTCGTCAACTCACAAGATCTCGTTGCTCAGAATCCCTATTAGTTGTCAATAGCGTACAACTACAATTTTTGTATGGTCATTGAACCACCACCTATCCTTAGAAGGATGCCCACTCTGCTTTTTGCCTGCTCCACCCATTCCACTTTCTGTGGATCATTTTCTAACCCCAAATGTAACACCCTCAGGCTCAGCAATTTTAACTGGCGCCAGCGCCTTTGTCGGTCCTTTTCCTGAACGAATGTTGCATTCTTTTAGGTCTGAAGGTCTTCTTCTCAACTGTCCGGTTTCTTTCAGGTAGTGCATCAAGGCTGTGAGAGAAAGTAGCGACTGAATTGTGCCTGCTCTACGGTCATCCAGTCGAAATGTTCGCACCAAATTCAGCTGGGTGTCGTCTGTCGTCATTTCTCAAGAGGTTAAGGACATCATCTCATCCCATACACTCGTCAATCGTATGAACACAATATCCCCGTCCACTCTGTCGAGTACCCAAGCTTTGAAAAGGCCCGTCCATCCTTTCTGGGCAGCATCTAGAAGCCAGAGGGAGGCTGCTTCAACGAACTCCTTTGTAACTACCTGGTTCTGGTCATCATTCGCTATAAACTCCAAGATCAAAGCCCCAAACGATATGCGCTGGAAACGACGACCAGGAACAGGGTCTGCCGCTGCGACTTTAGCGGCCATGGAGAAGAATTGGATGAAAGCTGGGTTGATGAGGGGTGGTTGGATGCTGGTAACGGTCTGGAAGACAGCCGTCCAGTCCGGAGGAAGACCGTACACAAGAGCACGTCTTGCAGACTGAATTCGTGGGCGTGTTTGGGTGTCGGCTGGGGTTACGACCATTGCGTGGTCCGGAAATGGCTTTGCCACAGCAAGATAAGGCAAGAGAGTTATTGGGAGCATTGGGAGGGCTAACATATGGAGCAAGTGCATCACTGTTCGTACTCATGTGGCAAGAGATACACACTGGACATGAAATGAGACTGTGGTGACGACAAAGACGACGTTAAGCTATGAAGGTTGGACAAAAGCACCGTTCCGACCTCTTTTGGAGGCTCGAGACGTTCTCTTTTCGGAGGCGCGAAGCCTTCATTTGCCGATGCTTCTAGGCTCGGGCCCAACCTTCGTGCACTTTTTGCAAAGGTAGTGTCTGACGCTTGGAGGCGCGAGCATAGTACCGCCCTGTCCTCGACGAGCACGAGACCGGTTTCGCGAGGATGCGCATTACCTGTGGCCCCAGGGTGATGTCAAAGACTCTAGTCTAGTGGCTGTGTGATTTTTGTGACCATGTGACGTGCGTGTCTCACCGTTTGAAGCGCCGCAGCAGCATCGCTCCCACTTACAGCGGACCAAGATCAGCCAATCGAGGACATGTACAGATCTACAGTCTCATCTGTGTTTCAAAGTTCAAGGTCTGAACGTTGTGTGCTCCCTGCGGAGAGAGACTCTCATTGGGAAGCGCATGTCGGCAATCAATGTAAAACCCGGGCCCAGAGATGCGCAACGAGTATTTCACTGCGGGAAATCTGGAGATGGAAGATAGAACAAACCAGCGTTGAGAGTTGCATGGTGAAAATGGTCTGAAATTAAGCGATTAGTATGCATGTTTCGGAAGAGCAGACCGAAGCGATGTGCCGTGCTGCTGAGTGCTGGTTGGCGATCACGAGACCGACGGGTATCCGATAAACGCCGAGACCCCGGCAACATAGGGCGAAATCTGTTGCCTCTCGGCGTTTATCGGATAGCTTCGAGACAAATAGAAGTCCTGCGCTCTGAGATGCGACATGTGAGTGCTCACAGGGAGAAATACTTGTCTGATACCATTTGTGTCTGAGCAGCATCACAGAAGATGAGATCTAACCGTAGTCAAGTCTGCTTCCGGCTCTCGTCGCTTGTGGGGAGATCGCATTCTTGAATATCATCTAGGGTTCACCCTCCATCTCCCAGGAGTCCAGCCGTGTGATCTACTCTCTTCCTCCGTTTCTTGGCTCATCTCCCAGGCGGTCTCAATAAGTGTCTGTTGATGGTGTGCCAATGGTTGTGTTGTGAGACAGACCTGAAATATTGTTCAGAAAATTTGGAGATATCAATGAAGCTGGGTGACTGAGATTGATGCCTTCTGGTAACGTGCCATTAGAGGTGTCCACGCTGCCATCAACAGGGCCGAACACCTTCAATATTGCTGGATTTGTGGGATCAATGCCTGCAGAAAATGATGCGCTCATGTACTTGTTAATCATATTTTCGAAGATGGCCCCATTCTGCCAGAGGAACATGGTAAGCACAGGTTGGCCATAGGTACCTGCGTCATGCGAGCTAAGTTTGAAAGAGCCTCAAAAAAAGCAAAGATTGTGCTCAAAGCTTACCAATAACCGTGCCGGCACCGCCTTGCGAATGAAGGTTGAGGCATGCTTGCACGAGGGAATATCCCACGAGGTAAATATCTGCCCATCGCGAAAGTGAGAGCGCCGTCTTGGAATTGCCCTCGACATAGCTCAGGAGGGCGAGGTTGCACGATCCTGGAGTTCATCTTCAGTACGTTGTCTTCATGACTGCAATGTACCCTTAACGAGAGTGGCACTATGAGTCCGCAAACAAGCTTGCTTACCGTAGCTCCAGAACTTAGGAATCTGGACTAATTTCATTCTGAAAGAACTCGGGCGCTCATCGGTCCAGCCTTGCCAGTCGGATTCTGGAGGGGCGGTCTCGAGTTGCTGCTCGATATAATACCTGTAGAACCGGTCTGCCTGTGGAAGAGCGGCCAGCGCTTGGGAACAGTCTTGCATGACTGGACTATCGTACATGTCCCTGCTGCAAAAGTAGGATGGGCCACGTGCCGAAACCAATGGGACAAGAATTGAACAATGAAGTAGGAGCCATATCAACGACGATGATGAAGTAGAAAGCCAAGACATTTTCGTTTCGAACTCTTGGGAGCTCAAAGTCTCTTGTAGTGCTGTCTTTGCAAGACGTCAGCATCTTATCCTGCCAAGGCTGCTTACTCGCAGGTTCTATCCTACATGGTCGAAAAAGCAACGCATGAATTCCAACCCAATCATTACGTCCTGAAACTCCTTGGTGTGGTTACCACGCGGCCGATGACACGTAAGATCCTCGTCTCGACATCTATGCGACGCGGAAAAGAGTCAGGCAAGTAAGCGCCATGATTTGTCTTGCTGGCTTTGTGCGGCATCCCGTTCATCCCACAAGGAGCAAAAGCTACTATGTCTTTGCGTTGGACTGTTGGCTCGAAAATTTGGGTCACTAGGCGAATCCAGGCGAATGCGTAAGAGTACCTGCATGAGCGCATCAAGACTTTCGGGTCCGAGATCGATCGAGATCGGGAGATCTACTTTGACAATCGAAAGTATGCACGACTTCATTTCGCGGGAGCTGGAGGTTGGTTGAAGAAACAATAGACTTGAGGCTCAAGTTGTCATATCACACACACACACTCTCTCTCTCTATCTCCCTCTCTCCGTTCCAAACCCCAAATCCAACACCTTCCACTCTTGAATAGATCCTCTTACCATGCTGCTTGGTCTACTTCGCTACAGGTCTGTCATCTGTGTCGTAGCCTTCATACTCCGCTTCTGCTCAGCGTCCCAGCCTGTCTGCAATGCCGGTATATACGGTATCCCCAACTACAGAGATTGCTTGAGCGTGTGGCACTCCATGCCCTTCGCCATGGAACCCGTCGACGATTATGGTTCCAGACGATACGAGTTGTGGTCTGAGCCTCAGTACCTCGTACCGCCTTTCGCCGCCGTCAGTAATCGATATCGACCACTACCTATCAATCAACTACCGAAAATATGGAGATACAGTACGTTGACGCGACCCTTTCTAGCAACATCTGGGGTTTTCTTTCGACGCTCCTGCTTGGTTATTGCTGTTGCCATCCGCTGACGATCAGGTCTTCAGACACATGCCGCCTCGCAATCTTGAGCTACGGTCGGCCTAGTGACTCCGTAGTGAGCGCGCTCTGGAGCGCAAATTGGAGAACTGTTCTAGACCAAATGCAGATACTGTTCACATGCGGCAGCCCTCGCCCACAGGTTGCCCCAAGTGGCGGATACGTGCCTTTCATCAGTACGTAGCTCCCATTTCGTACCTGGGTGGTCCCTATTCCTCGTGACCAGATCATGCCCACCGCTGAATCGTAACGATACTAGACCAAAGGACCAGACAGTTTTCAGCAGCTCTCTACATATATTCTGCGTATTCACCCTTTGAAGATTTGCTCAATATTCACATGAGCGAGGGGTTGCCGATCACGCCTGTTACCTCAATGGACCAGCTGGATATCGCTGGCAATGCTTCTTTTGTGTCGTTGACCAATAGCACGAGATATATTCGGCATATACCGGTAGACTTTTCGTTGCTGAGAGATATTACGCTGCTGGACAGATAATGGAGGTTCGAGTAGCTAGTCACGTTACTGAACATGTGTTCAGCTTTTTCCTTGACACGAATGTTGTGTTAGATCTGGGGAAAGCGTTGTGATACAGTGTCCTTCGTGGTCCTGAAACTTCGACAACAGTGATTACTTAGCTTCTCTGTCTTTTCTTACGCACCATCACCGAGCTCCCAAGGCCTTGGCTGATAGGCCTCGAATCTGACCACCATGGACATCGAGACCGTTATTGCTCAGGATCCGTGTTGAAGTTCCATGTTATAGGTATTATATTCAGAGTTGTCCCGATTTTCTACAGGCTCCAATTTCAACAACAGGCCTGCTCAAGAACGAGTACAGACTGGCGGTATCTCTCTTCTACACCTTCAACAACCTTGATGTCTTCAACGATGCATTCCCTACGTGCAGCGTATGAGGATCATCTAGGAGCCAATTTTACATGCATCAAGAAGGTACAGTGCGGAGACACAGAAGCAATGAAGATCATCAGGCTTACAACATCCAGAACTTGGAATTGCAATTGTTTTCCTTGTCGACCGATGTACATTCTCTGGGAATGACATGACTATGCTGGCTAATGCCAGCACTGGAGAGCTCGTTACTGATAATGGCCAGCCGCCTTAATCTGAGCTGTTCTCGGCAAATTGCTACAGCTGTGGCTCGAGCTAGCTCGGTGCGAGTTCTAGAATCCCTAGATGAACAATGGATTGGAGTGAGGTGGTGTTCTTACTGTAAGTCACGTTATCTGGTATTAGTCCTCGGATCACGAAGTGGAGCTACCAGAGAAGTTTAGGAACGATGATTATAAAGATTATTTAACGAAGTATACTTGATTCACAGCGAGAAGACAAGAAAAGGCGGTCCTAGGCTTACACAAGCTAAGACAGAGAGAATGGCTCAAGCTATGAGCTCCGATGTAGCGGTACAGCCGCCGGAGCCTTGTCTGCATATCATCAATAACCTTTTTAGCTATTCTGTGTCTCGCTAGCACGAAGCATCGAGTCTCAGTGAAAATTGACGCAGTTGGAATGTGCTATTTCTGGAACCCTAGAATGGAAAAAACCCAACGCAATCTATAAAATTACAATGCAAACCAAGTACAGAGAAGACACCAGACACAGGAAATCCTACTAAACGCCGCGCCCTATGCTACATTCTGAACCTTATACTCATGGTGGTTTTAGATAGATACTCTCAGCAAGCGCCCGCACTCTTCGTCGTATTGTAATACATTTCGATCTTCGATATCTTGAGAATATTTTCCATGCTCGGTGGTCCGGCGGACCACTTAGGATCGCCGTTGCTGCAAGATCAATCGCGTTAGCGCATGGCTCTATGACGTCAAACAAGCATCGCAGAGCAAAGCAGACACGCAATGTTAAGCGTGGGGGGTTTCCTTGCCTCCAGTTGTTCCATAGCCACGCGCCCGCCGTACTTGGCACATTTCCCGTCAAGTTCGCCTGCTTGACACCGTCCATATAGAAATCCGTACGATCCGGCAGCCAATCCAAGCGATACTCGTGCATCTCTGACGTAAGATCCACAGAAGATGCGAATGCAACAGTCGTCTGGTCAGCGGTCGGGCTGGCCTTTTGGTTCGTGTAGTGAACGCCTTTATACGCGCCACCTGTGATGACCTCGATGTCGGCTTCCTGACTATCGCTCTTGTAAAAGAATGGGCTCGAAACGGTCCCGGAGACGCTGCTGATTTGCATCATTGTGCGCACGCTGCCGTAGAGGATGTTCTTCTCCGCGGTGGAGACCTCGGCGCCGAGGATGGGAGAGGTGGTTTGCCCTCCTGGTACCTTGAGCTGCAATGTGCCATCTTCGACCGCTACATTTTCGATGGTGTAGGTTTGGGTGTATGGGGTGGAGGGGATGTGGTCGGTGCTGATATCTAGAGTGTCGTTTGGTAAGGCGGTGAGGTCGGAAAAGTCGACGGTTAGGATATGGGTGAAGCTGCCGGAGCCATCGATTGTCCAGAGACAACCTTCTTTCGTGGCTGGTGACGAACTGCCTGCTGGGCCGGTCGGTGGGGGTAGAGGGGATACCTGGGGTAAAGAGGATGCTTGGGGTTGCGGAGACGTGAGCGAACCGCAGGTTCCGAAGGCTGATTGGCAGCCGCTGCCACAGTAGGCGTCTGTATTTCCACAGAATCCAGCCGCAGAGCAACAAGCACCTCCGTATGAATCATTTGGGTTGCAGGTGTAGCCGTTGCTGCCTCCACAGGTGTTATCTGGTGTCAATGTGCGTTTGTGCTTGCTGGCATCATCGTGATTTGGGTAAGGTATCGCAGATACTGCTGAAATCAGCAAAAGAAAGTGGATGGACATATACATGATGATATTGCTTAATGAGTGATGAGTGTTGCTGAAACAGAAGAAGTCGTACGGCGCCCGTATATTTATACTTGAGATGCATATCTTAAAATAACGTACAGGAATAGGTGTGGTTGCATGCGTTCAGGCACAGTACAGACTGCGTAAGCTTTGGGCAGCGTGACCTACGTGAGGAATGAGAAGGAGGGCCTCTGCCCCCTGGATCAACGGCACAGAAGTCTGCGTCCCTAAGCAGCAGGAAGACCAATAACTAAAGTCTGAGGGTTGGGGGGCGAACTTGAAGTCGGATTGATTGATGATTGTTCCTGTAGTCGCCGCGGCCCCTTTGTAGCGCCAACCCACTGGTTACCAACAGCGCTTCTCAGTATTACGGCGTTGCTCGCTCTCCTCGGGAAATATCATTCAGAGGGTCCGCGCTTGATTGCCGATTTCTCGCTGTACCCAAATCACCGACGGCCTTCCTGATGTAGGAGGTAATGATTTTGAAAATCTCCTGTCAAGATTAAATGTTTCAAGTTTCAGTCCATTCAGAAAGTTGAGAAGGGATTCAAGGTTAATGTTTCATGTGCCAGTAATTTCAGAAGTTTGATAAGGGATTGGATCATTCGATGTGTTCACCTTGGTGTAAGGCAGAATTCAGGATTGCGGCGATGAATCTGCACGCTTGGATAACTGGACTGGGGAATTGCAGTCGTCAGGTCGGGATCGACTATGGGTGCGTCGGCCGTCTCATGCATTAGGGGAGGAAGTGAACAGAAGGGTCGGATGGATCACGGAAGAGGCTGGTGACGCGCCTGAGATAATTTTAGCATGAAGGATGATACGACCATTTCCCACTCCGCATCCAAACCGAGCCTGCCATCATCAGAAAAAACGTCTGATGGAGTGCGAATTCCAAATTCTGCTACAGGTCTTAACCTCCAGATTGGCGACGCCGATGGAATATATAATGAGCGCGATGACTAAGAACATATCGCGCTGCTCCACGCCATCCGATACAAGCATTAATCATTAACTGCAGGGCCGCCAAACACTAATTCCCATTTCTTGCCAGTTGTGAAGTACGTTCTTAATGAAAAAACAAAAGCACAATTTCCACAAGAGTCCGAACAGCCGCGGAGGAGACGTCTTCGCTTTCTCTTCTTACTTGAGGGCGCCCCCCTGGGGGTGCGAAAAGAAATCTTCACTCAGGCCAAAGTTTCGCCTGTGAAATTCTCCACGGTCCTTCACCACAGAAGAAACTACAACAAATTTGGAGTCGATTGGATTGTGTAGAAAGAAGCATTCGAAATATGCCCGCGCAAATGCCCCTGCATGTTCAACTTATTTATGACTCAATGTAACAGCAAAAGTGCATCTTGAAGACATGGCTAGGTATGTGTATATTGGTCTTGGAGCTGTTCCAGTTCTGGATCAGAGTAATATTAGATAGCGCCGTGCCTAGTCGCCATGACAGCTTCATGTCATCGGAATTAGCGAATAGGTTGCAGGGAGATGCTCACTCCGGGGGGAAAAGAGATTTGGCGAGGCGTTGGAAAGTTAGCATATGCTCGTCATAAGAAATCTTGGCCTTCAAGCGATGGCCTTTCCCGTAACTACCTCTGGCGAGGAACTTCGCATGTTCCTTAGCGAATTTGTTTTGCGAGGGATCCTTCCTCTCCGCTCCTAGTTCCACCAACACCTTCGCCACTTGATTATGCCCTTCAAGGATTGCGTTCAGCAATGGATTGCGCTCTTCGTCAGTACCGTCGACATCAACGCCGCCCCCAACGAGTAAGCGTATGACTGACTCGTGACCATTCCGTGCAGCACAGCTGAGCGCCATATGGCCGCTCGCCTCTAGACCCAAGTTTGCCCCTTTCTCTATCAAGAACTGGACCATGTCCACATGCCCACAGTCTGCGGCCACGACGATTGGAGTGGGCCGGCAGGCATCGATGTCGGCACCATGATCGATCAGCACTTGCGCAACTTTGACAAAGCCTCTCCAGGCGGCTTGGTGCAACAGCGTTCCGTGCCTGCCCTCTACCTGGCTTGCGCCTCCGGCTAGCAGTAACTGCACAATTCTATAGTAACCTCCGGCAACCGCTCTTTGTATCGGCGGGTCTCTATTCCCTAGACCAGCATGAATGTTGGTCCCAAGGTCAAGCATCCACTGAGCAATGGTCTCATGGCCATGTTCTGAAACAGCCAAGAGTATCAGTTCTTGCAACCGTGGTCGTCTTGCGGTTTCGATTCGGTCTAGTAAGAAGCGCACTATACTTGCATGACCCATTTGCGCAGCGTCACAAGCAGCGAATTGGAAAACCCTGTGTGAATCTTCGAATTCGTATTTCGAATCCGAGAGCAGCCGAACGATATCCTCATGGCCTGCCGTTGATGCGGCCCGTAGAGCGGTCACGATATTTTCGTAAGCGGAAGAGTAGCGAGACGTAGAACTGGCGGGTACCAAGGACGTCATGGCGTCGGCTTCCTTCTCGAGAAGCAATAAGACAGAATCCATATGGCCTCCACTAGCCGCGGCTTGTAAGGGTGTTCCGAAGTAATCGCTTGTGGCATTTGTGTCACTGCCCTCTTCAATCATAGATTGGACTCTTGCAAGTCTTCCGGTATATGCCGCTGCTGCCAAAACGTTTTGTGACCCTTGTCCCGTCACAACATTATCTGTCAAACCGGCGTTCAGGTGATCGATCACCAAAGAGCAGCCCATGGTTTTTGTGGCTGCACAGCACAGTGCGTGGATGTGCTTCCTCCAAACCAGTCCCGAGGACTCATCTTCCTCCTCTTCCATGAGTGCATCTGTAGTATTCCGAATTTCGGCTGTGAACGCATTGTTCTTTGCTGCATCGGCCAGACTTCTCGACTCCAAATACTTTGATACGATGGGGATACCTATAGGATCGATGTTTCGGTATCGTCTTTCTTGAATGAGGTGAGTGGCAAAGATGGCTCGCAGAGCTTCACAGTCGATCAACTCTGGGACGCAGATCAGTTTTTAGATATTCCAATGTGGTGGATCAGCTACCTACTGCTAACCAGTCTCAGTCGAAATGCGCGGTGAAGGCCCACTGTAACGACAGCATGCCGCAGGATCTCCTGCAGGAGCTCAGGGGGCAGGTCAACGAGCTTCATGGCTGTGATTTAGGAAGACGATTGCCACGAGGAAGGTTGGTGGCTGGATATGAGTGGTAAGTCAAGAGATTAGAAAGAAATTGTGTGAGTTGTGGCCACACTCTTCGCTTATGAGCGTAGAGAATAGTGGGGCCACGAATAGTGTGTTGCTTAGTGACCCCCTCGTCTGCTTTGTGGGGTTGCCAAGAAATATTGCCTCGATTCTAGCTCAAATCTACTCATAGCGTGGTCTATAGGTGACACCTTTTCATAGAGCAAAGTTTGAGAAGCTTCAAAAAAGTCATCCGAGCCGCAATCACTTCTTTCTATCAAAACTTGCCAACTGAAAGAAGATCCTCAACCAGAAATTTGAGCAGACAGCCTTTGAAGAGTTCAGGGCAAAACGAAACAAGTTTTGTCACGATCAGAATATTGCGAGAGCAGAAAGATGGACTATGCGGACTATCATAGTCAGCAGTGTTGTTGTGACCGCGGCCTTCACGTTGGGTGTCGGCATCCCGTTCATCTTGCTCGTCCCCAAATACGTAAAGAGTCTCGCCAAGCTGCGAAAAAATGAAGAACAGAAGGAGAGAGATCAGATAGAGAAAGAGTTCCCAGAAGTAGCGCAGGCCCCTTTGGAAGATATGGCAAGACCTTGCTGTGGGACAAGAAGGTCAAGATTTGGACGGTTATGAGAAGCGTATGGACAGCTTTAAGCTGGAGTGGTCTGATTGGCAGAGCCCGAGCTCCCACGAGCAACAAGGCGCTATCACTCCCTCAACATCAGACCCTGCTCCCTTATCGACGCCTGAGAAGAAAAGACCCGAAGACAAAGAGACTAAATGGGTGGAAGGATTGACGTTCTGTTATCAAAATTGAAACATAAGATGTCGACCCGTCGTACTAGTATCAAGCGAAAGAATTCTCCTTCCCCTTCCAATGACAGACACTCTGACGAAGGCGATAATGATAAAGGGTCAAATGGCAGCCTGATCATGGTGGCATAACGACCCTTCGGACTGGTCCTTCAACAGTTGAGTAGGATCGTTGGAAAGCCCCAATGTGGTACGGTAAATTTCAAACCTTTGTTCGTCATTGAGTATGGGTTGTTTCCAGGATCCCCATCCGATTGGCGTGATTGGAGAAGCTGGATTCAGGAGCCGCGGTGTTTGTTGAGTCTGCGAATGAACCAGGCCAAAGGGCGAGCATACCAGAAGGGTCTTGTGCAAAAGTCGAAGTCCAGGCGAAGATTGACTCGTCATCTGACTATTTGACTATCTCGAGCTCAAGTCTGAGAAATACTTTTCTCCCTTCGCCATATAGTAATGACATGTTGACATCGAATATGCGGAGAAGGTAGCAGGCGATTGGCAATATGTTCCACTCTGTTTGTCGTCTAGAGACCCAGCACATTTCAGTGGCCACGCTCGCTTTGTGCATATTTTTCAGACACTGGACTCCAATACCGTCACGGTCGAAACATCTGTCGATATTTCCTTTTTCATTCTAATGCAATTCCACTTGCAATCAAAGAAGATGACTTTGGAAGGGGCAGTAAGTTCCTGGAGAGTCCATACACGAGTAAACCATGCGCTCTGCGCGAAACTTCTCCTGATGTCCAAGGCTTGGATCCTTCGCACGTCGAAAAGATAGGCGTAGCGTTTCCCAGCTTCGACGTACCAACGGAACATCGAATTGATTGCTTCGAAATAGCTCAGCGCTGCTCTTCTTGTCGATGCAACAAGTATCGATACAGACCCAGTCGAACCCTCGCGATTCCGCAAGTGAGCGACAACCTCTGATCTTCACGAAACCTGGCCATGCTTGCTCCTTACCATCCTCGAAATCCTGGAGATTTACCTCTTTCTCCCCCATCTGTGCGACGAAATTGCATATTTAGGGACTTTGCTACCGAAGAACTCTTCGGATCGTCGTGCGTAAAAGACGCGTGTTGTGCAAGCTGAGCATTTGGTAAACAGGTCCGATGATGCGGCGTTGTTGTCGTTGCGGCGCTTGGGCGGTCTTGACGTCTTGGTATAGCAGGGTCAAACCGAGAGCGCAACGACCAAGGCTGATAGTACAGTAATGCTGTTGTGTAGACGGTGTAACCCGGAGGCCGTCGAAACCTGCTTTCAGCCTCACTTCATCCTAGGTGGGGTACGGCAGTGCTAGCACCGACGAGGAAGGTGGTTGTCCTTGTATCTACTACCGTCCGAACACACGAAGTCCTTTCCCTCGTAATGGAAATCATACGAGCAGAAAATGCTGTTAGGAGGAGCAGTACCTCATTGCAGATGTGTAATTCCAGGCCTACCCAGTTACTCGGGCTTTTCCTTGAAACGCAATCTCCTAAATGAGCGTAGCGAATAGTGGGGCCATGATTACTGCGTAGCGAAAACAAAAAACAAGATACAAAGAACAAGGTAGCAAGGATCAGTCCGTGTGGGTAGAAGAGGATGTAGATTCTATGGAGGAAGGATCCGAAGGATCTTAAGGATCCAGCCAAGCAAGCTATACTACATATGGCTAGCAAGAAAGAAAGACCCCGCAGGAAGCACCTTCCGACTGACACTAGTAAACCAACTTCTAATTAACCCTATTAATTAGACATGTTCTGTGCAAGCAAGAGATGTGTGGGAAAGCGGTTATACGCTTTCTTGCCTACAAATAGTATAAGTTACTGTGTAGTGACGGACTACTACTGATCACCTTTTGGTCTAGTCGTAACGGTTAGCAAAATCCCGTCCTGCTTCTGGGCAACAGCCGTGTATCCGTCCACCCGTTGATACACAATCTCTACCTGAAGCCCTTCGAGGATTGTCAATTTGTCGTTGGACAAACCCCAGCGCATCAGGCAATTTTACATGCGACCAATACCTGCACGGAATTGGCAGCGACCGGCGTCGTTAACAGGATGCATCTCCTACAATTACCAGAGAAGCTTCTGATGCAGGTACTCGGCTACCTAACAGATTACAAAGATCAGCTTTGTCGCATAGCCCTTGTATCGTGTCGATTGAGTGCCTTGGTCCGCATCGTGTTGCCACGGGACATCCACTTCAAATTGTCCACTGGTGACTTCGGGCGCTGCCAAATGTTCATGAGAGCGTGTGCTGAGTGACCTGAGATTGCGGAGTACACCCACAAGGCCCATGTCTTATGCTGTGGCATGAATGAAACGGTCAATACCTGTGAGACTCTCAACAGTCTTCTCGCCAGGCTCACGGCCTTACGCCAGTTGGAGGTCTCCCTGCGCCCACCTCCAGATTCATCTACCAGCCTTTTACCAGAATCCATTCCCTGAAATGCGCAGCCTCGAGCTTGATCTTCCTACCATATCGGCTTCTGAGATCTTTCATTTCCTGAAACTCCCCAATTTTCAGGAATTTGAACGTTGATGGAGTCCGCGAGGTCCGCGATCCCGAGATCACAGATAATGTGGATTCTCCCATGCGGGCGTCCAGTGTTGATCAAATCGATACCTGCTGGACTCCTGTAAACCCGCGAGACATGGATTCGATACTCTCCTGTCCTCGACGACGCACATCTTTACATTGTGTCATGCCGGGAAGGTTTCGGCAGCCTTTCAATAACAGAAACAAGCACGAGATGATGGACACATTCTCGCCGCGGTCCTCGACACTCATGCTCCGTCCCGTCCAAGAGACATTCATCAATCTTGCGCTTATTGTTGATGGCGTTGGGTGGCCCCGCCATGACGGCTCAAACCCAGACCTCACAGGTTGCAGCGCACTCCGATGGGGTCTCGTGTCAAGCTCTTTCTTCCTTGAGTCGGCAAAGCCAAGCGAGGATCGTAGTGGGGTCTGGGCTCTCATGCCAAGAAACATTGAGGAAATCATAGTACGTTAGATCTTGGGGCTCTTATCTTAACCTTACTAATTCGGAAGTGCAGATTGAATTCAGTTCGAAAGGTGGCCTTTCCCACTCCGCCGATCGCCTCCATACACCCAACTTCGGTAACCCGTGTTACAATGAGACAATGTTTTCAGACGGCTCCTGGCTCGTGGAGATTGCCGCGCAAAAAACAGAGCATTATCCGAATCTCGAATCTACCGTCATGTCGGAGCTGGACGTTGTGAAAGGGACTGTTTCGAAGCTTAGATGTAGAAGCCTGCCATGGCAATATCCGATTGACCTGTTGAATATATTCAGGGCCAGCGGCATTTCGTTGACAGGTCATCTCCGAATACCGAAGCTTTGGAATGAAACATAAGAGGAAGCAGAGATGCCAAGGTAGATCAAGATGGACCTTGTTGTCTAGCGAGTAAGGTCGGGTTTACTACCCTTATGATTTGCCAGTCTTGCTGGGGCGGCTATAGTGGTACTTCGTACTTTGGGTTTGCGCGCTAATCTCAGGCTCGGATGTTAACAGCAGATACGCGACATGTTTCACAACAGCCTCGACGCAATTGCGTCGCTGCGTCAGCCTTATCTTCGTTGTTGTCCATACGAAAAGTCTATGTATACGCGAAGTGATTCCTCTCCACGTGCCGAATATAACTTATGCATCTCGCCAGATCCTGCATCCTCATTTACCTTGGCATATTTCATGCTGCAACATCCTCAGGATGCAAAACTTGTTCATAGAGCGATACTGGTTGTTCCTGAGTCTATTGAGCTTAGCATGTGCGAGACCTCAGTATATAGCGCGTACGTTTCCTCATCCGTCTATCTGTAACCGACCACTGACGTTCATTGCAGCCTTGAAAGGTGTTCAAACAGGACCTTACCATATATACAATTGCGGCACCCGCACTCCATCAGTCTCCGTTCTTATCAACACCCTTATTGACACACTCCAACCGGTCCTCGACGATGTTTCCCGACCTTTTTCCAGCCCCGCGTATACCACTTTCTTCAAGAATATTGCTTTCGCTCCGATTGTGTACGACCTCCTCTCAAACATCACGACAGGCGCGCCCACCTCTCCCGGACCCCACGCTCTAAAAGATGCCCCCCCTGAACTCTTTGGAGCACCAATCACCCCCCAATTTGTATGTGTCACAGCTTACGAACAACTTACCTGGTCGTTAGAACCTGGGGGGCAGGGAGGGAGACAGTTGGACGCATATACAGCTTGTCACCAAAGCCCAGTACATGCATTCGCTATCGTTGGCACAAGGTTTCTCAAAAATTACATTGTACTGTGTCCCGCTTTCTGGACGTACGCCGCCATTCCCTCGTCGTCAAAGTCTACTTGCTTACCTGTGGACCCGCATTTCAATCGCTTCAGAGAGGGTGGCGGGCGCCTAGTCCAATTCCAGCTCTGGGTAATATTGCATGAGCTAGCGCATGCTTACATCTATGCCAGGAGCGGGCTTGTAACAGATGTTTCGACTGCTAACAACTGCATGTGGTTGGCTGCCAGCAGTGCTGTGAACAACGCGCAGAACTTTGTGTTTTATGCTGCCAGTGAGTTGGTTCCATGACTTTGGCTTGATTCCCTTCTATAGCTCATCAGTATGATTTCACATGTTTTTGGCACTGCTGATGAACGTGTGGCAGACATTCGGTTAGGATGCACAGATTTTCCACGGGTGGCTAGGCCGTCGTTCGGTAGTGTTGAATTAATGGAGATCGATGCAAACACGACATTGAGTGGTGGTTCGGAATCCCAAAATGTGTCTATGTACGGAGGCCAGTCCATTGGTAATAACTTGACACGGACTAATATGGATCTACCGAATATCGTCACCTAGCATGTGACAACAATAGAAAGCACTTCCTACATCAACGTCCAATGTCTGAGGGATCTTTCCACCACCGCTATCTTTGTGGCTACTGTTTTCATCCTCGTCGCGCGTAGTGTTTAAATATCGCATTGCCTTTTTCGAAACAGTATCTCATTTCGCGCGTGTCGCGTCCTCGTCGGCATCCCGTCACCCTACTAACTTACTACATGATCCCTGCTTCTTTTCAATTTTGGAATTCTACACCATCTTGCAATCTCTGTCATCCATCTATTCCTGCCAAGTATAATACTACGCCGAAGTCAACGAGGTCATTCCGTGTTTCATCCTCACCTTCCCCTGATTCACACCGTGTCCCACCATACCTATGCTCTTTCAACCAGCTTGCCAGTTCTAACTTCACAGATTCTTCATTTTTCCGCTCAAGTAAGAGGCCTTGACGAGTCGAGAACCTCCAGGCATAGCGACTACAGTGACAATGCTTCTCGCCACCTTATCCCTTCAGTATGATGGCTGACCCTTCAGAGAAACACGGCAGTCGGAAGCAATACTGCAATTCAGTAGCGGCTTGCCGCCGCTAGGGATGTTGTACTTGTTTCATTGACTACCTTTGTTGAAACATAGGTTGTACGCTTTCAAGTGTTAGTGCAAGGGTCGTACGTGGCATCCTACTATTGTCAATAATCTCAGAGAAGCCCGCGCTGTCGCAGTGTCTCAAACCGCAACCGCAACCGCTATGTGCGAATCCCAACATTCACTGCGCCAATAAGAGAGCCGCGAGCCCACCATGGCGACTAGCTATCGATCGAAGCGCACAGATATGAACAATCAACATTCGACTTTTCACGATTGCCTTGCTCTCGGCCTTGGTGCTGGAGTTGTCATGCACATCTTTTGCTAATGTAGGTTCCCCTCGCCACCATAGCCCGTCATGATCATGGAAACTGTTATTTTTATCAACTACGCTCGTCTTGTACTCCGTTGCCACATCCAGCGCACTTGTATTGCCTTCCGCCGGCAAGATTGGCACATTGTCGCTCGCCTCCGCCAAACGCTGCCTCGCAGCTCCTGCAAACACCATCGACACTCACCTCTTATCGAATCGCTTTGGGAATACCCATATCCCAACCTCCGTCTCCGACGCAGCAACAACAGGATTGATCTGTCACTTCGGCTGCAGGCCCGCGGATGGCGGCTGAATCATCTCCCCAGAAACAGCACCAGGACAAGATATCCTGAAAGCGGCCTACGATATTATCAACTGTGGTGACCGTCAGGTGCGACAAGTCTGGACACAAACGGAAGCGTGGTCTATGTTTCCTGCGGTATGTATCTGGATTTCAGTTGGAGACTCCCTCTTTGTCCGGTCGGTTTCCCGAAAATGGAGATCGCCGCGGGCGCGTCGATGACAATTTCGGATTGTGTACTATTGTGAATGCGGCGCATAAGTACCAGGAGGAGGGGTGAAATAGTGTTGGCCGCCGTGAGTTTGGCATCATAGTAACAAGGACCCGACCGGTGGTAGCTTACAGTGTATAAGACCCGGCTTGTGATGTGTGAGATTGGTAATCTGTCTACTATGGAGCCGTTGGTACTTATGAGGTCAGCCAAGGCTTGTGCAATGCTCCTGTCAAGAATTCATGCCATGTGCCAAGCAAGCATACTAGGCGGTCTCGGGTATCTAATATTTCTTACTCGCGACGAGGACGCATATTGTAAGTAGGATTCGTCAAGTCAGCATGTAGCTACGTTATCCTTGTATCACGTGCGGACAAGACTTGGCATTTTTATAAAGTCAAGCGATGCAACTAAGTAAGCATAGTCCTTGCCAAGATTCCTGGGGTTCTATCATTGTCAACCTTGCGACGGCGACAGCCACCCACCGCCTGCTCATGATGCTGGCGTACAAGCTTCAATGTTGGCGAGGGTTAAAGAAGACTTGTGCCCATGATCCCGGAGTTCTAGAAGGGTCAAGTATGACCTGGCGAAAGCTCTTGACGGAGGGCTAGAGTGTCTTGGCATCAAACCGCAAAGACACCCGAGTCCTCAAGTTCCGATGCTATCCACGCACACAGGCATATCTCTTTTAAGTCGATACGTCGTAGTGGAGGTTATCTATCTTCGAAGCCACCAGCGTATCGATTTGCACGATGGTGACATTGTAAAGCGGCAGGTGGAAGGTGCTCGGAAGAATAGCATGGATCATTGGCACAGTAGTAACTGGGTTTGGAGGCGGCGTAAAAGTGAATGATGCGAGCGCGATCTCTTGACCATCGCTGGCTTGGATCTCAGAGGCTCCAAGACTTGTAAGGCTTCGCGACGACGATGGAAGGTGTGCCATCTGTCAATGTCTCAGCCACGAAAGTCAGCACGGCGTTTGGTGGGGATTGGTTGGCGACGCCGCCAACCTTTACGCCGGGTGTAGATGGTCCGGCGAGAACGAAAGTGTTGAAGGGCAGACTTTTGTAGGTGTCGATGGGGCTCTCGAGTACTGGGGTAGCATCGAGATCATCCTACTGTTCATGATTCAGCTCTTTGGCTTGGATAGTCGACTTCTAGGCGGAAATACGGAGCGGGCTCATTTATTAAGGCAGAATAGGCACTGTGGCATTTTGCACAACGACCGTGCTAGAGACTTGGCTGGCTAATAAGAGACAATGGAACAGCTGGAAGCCTTGAAATGTCACTGTAACTGCTGAGCGATTAGAGAGTGGAGAGATGTCTTTGATGGACCATGAAGGAAAAAATTGTTTGGGAAACCGAGGGCATTTTATAGGTGTGTCTCCTTTGATATACTGATCTTGGCGATTGGTTTCATGGACGTGGCGAGTGTGGATATGGCTGATGTTGTGATTAGGGTTTGCTCGGTCTCGAGTTGCTCGATCTAGGTCTTGGAGACGTGTGCTCTATTATCGGGCCGGCCCTACGGATCCCATACTGAGACCGATCACAGCTAATCTAGCCTGGTGGCGACTCTAAACTATGTTTGCTGACCTTGTTTCATGATGGGCCGCGCCGGACAAATCCGAAGCTCCCTATACTGCATCGAAGTTTAACGTCCTCATGGCGGGAAAATGATGTACCTGGCGCGTTAGTGGCTTTCTCTTACGGCGAACCATTCGAAATGCCGTAGAGGATGATGGTATTCTCGTTCTCTATGGTTCATAGACTTGTCTTTCATTCGGAAGGAATCGATTCAGCAATGTTTTCGTCACGGTTTAGATGGGGTAGTTTTTCTTTCCGCTGTAAAATCCTTCTTTCCCTCCACGGACCCATCAGCTGCGGGACATTATCAGTGCATCTATATTCACATAAATAGTTACGCCGGCTTGATATATTTGTATTTTGATTATGTCAGGAGAAAAGGGATCTGAGGTCTGTGTAGCCCCAAATTGTCACTCCACGTGCAAGAGGCTCGTCCGGCGTTTTCTCAAAACCCTTCGTGTCCACTCGCCCCAAGCCATAAAAACCCATCGATCTTGCTAAAGTGAGCCGAAAAGTGGAACTAAGATCAAACTTTGCCACTGAATAAAGAAGTCTTTCTTTTCGAAAATCGTCGAGGCACGCCTTCTTTCTTCGGAGGTACACCTCCAAATCTTGACACACCCCTATATCCGAGTTAGTCGTCTGAAACTTTTGGACACGAAGGGTGTTACTACGGAACGGGCTTCGAGGCTGGATTGGACAAAAGGCACTTCCCGGACACTGCAGAATTCCCACGCGTGTCCTTTGATAACGCACTCCACGAGTCGGGCACGGATACGCATACACATGAATGAACTTGAGATTCAGTCAGCGCAGAAGCCTGTGTGTGTAGAATAGATCTCCCGAGAAGATAGAAGCTCTTGTGTATAAGTCATCGCTTTATAGGTAGCAACATCGGAGTGCGTTCAAATTCGGAAGCTGCATTCTTGGGGTGCCACCGACCAGAGCTTCCATTCAGCCGGTCTTGGGGGGATGGTCTGTATAGCCTGTGAAGAAATGAAGCTGTGTTTACAGAGAAAGGGGTGTGCCGCTCTGCAGTAAGCGTAAAGTCAGCTTATCTATAAATTTCCCTGACGCACTTGTACATACGGCAGCTGCTTCGTAGATCGACAGGTCATTTGGTACAGCTGCTGGTTGATTGTAACTGACCTAGGCATTTACAAGTGGCCCAGTGCCGCTGTAAACTACTTTTCTTGTCGTCCTCACTCCAACCCAGTTTATTGCAGCTGCACCGTGCCATCACCTCACACAAGCTGACGATTGCAGAACGGGAAGAATCGCATTCATACTGCTACCGTTATCAATATCGCTATGGAGACGCCGTCGTGTTCAATCAAATGTTCCTGGCAGCAAGAAACTTACCCGACTGACCAATGATCTTGTAATATCAGGCTGGCTATTATACTATGAAGGAGTAAGGTAGTGCTCCTTGTGGTACAGGCCAAGCATAATAGGGTGAGAGGCTGAATTTCCACAGGTGAATTCATGGGTAAGTCGATCTACAGATACAGCTGGCTGACTGGCGAATGGCCTTGGTCGATTAGTAAATCAGCTGAAAGTAAGGTTTAACCAGAGCAGTGCCTCAGATACTGTATGTCTCCGTTTCTTACGTCTGACTGACTAAGCAGGTCTGATTACTAATCATAAACTCGTACCTACCTTGTCTAATCAGTAAGCTCTTTCTTGCCGGCTACTCTAAGCCCCTTCGGGTTAGTCCCTTTGCTTACTACGGAACCTCCAGATAGCACGTCTTCCACACGTCAAAGTAAAGGGAGAAGTTATTAAGAGAACCAGTCTTGTTCCCCCTACGGTACGATGTTCATCGCATCTTGAAAGAATTACTATAGCTATCCTAAGGAGCGGGTCAACCACTGCATTCAGCTTAGCGATGAAATTAGCGGTCTGAGACATTCTTTGTTTCCTTTATACATTCCTCACGTTTCAGTTCCCTTTCTTATATCTTCGTGCGTAGATGCCTTCTAGTCCAAACCGCATGCGTGCGGCGTTGAATGGGTACCAAGTTGTTACATTGTTGAAGGGTATAGATTTCGCTTGCACCAGCTTCTTCCATGCTGTGCGAGCTTCAGCTTCAGAGTCTATTCGTATGCTTCAAAAGATATTCAAGTCAACGCATCTTTGAAAATGGAGTCGACAGCAACACCAGCTGCAGACAGTAAGCAGTTCCCTGGCAATGGACCTCTGATCAGACCAGCAAGCGATTCTGAAGATGTTTTCCAACCAGCCAACGAGTCATTCCCACCTGCGAATACAGACATCATGGATACTAGCGGCGAGGAAGCTATCACCGAACCACAAAGAGATTCTCAAGAAAAGTTACAGCTAGCCAATAAGTCCTCCCCGGTTAGCTCCAGCATCTCGGTTGATTCGCGGACTTCGACTCTCGAATACAGCCAAGAGCCGTTCGATCAGTATCAAGTCCGTGTCAAAGAGTTGTGCCATGTACTCTGGCCTGCCGAGTCTCGAATAGCAACTCCTGAAAGCCGTATGGGCGGCGTCACAAAAACTCGTATCCTCGAAGCCGTGCGGATCAAGAAGTTGCGCCGCTTTCTCTTTTCCTCTTCCGAAACCGACAAGGAATTCATCATTGAGCGCTTGGTTGGCGGTACTTATAATCGAATCGTTGGGGTAATAGTCAAAAACACTGGTACCATTGAACCACAAAATCTCGTTCTGAGGGTTCCCCGGCCACAGATGGCGGAATTAGGGTACATTGAGCGTGAAGTTGCTATTCTGCGCTACGTCCGCCAGAATACTACCCTTCCGGTAGCTGATGTCATCAGCTTTGATGCGACGGCCAACAACCCTCTCGAGAGTGGATACGTTGTACAAAGCCGGCTGCCTGGAGTTTCATTACATACAATTTGGGATGAGCTCACTCATGAGCAACGCTGTAAAGTTGCGCAAGAAGTCGGCAAAACCATACTTGCGTTACAAGCTGTAAAGAGCTCTTCGCCTGGTATTGTTGAGGCCTCTGTAGCGGACGACGGAACCCACACGTTTCTTGTCCGCCAATTCGACATTAAGTCTGCATACGACGATGACTGGAAGTCAAAGATCCCCCTTCACGTCTCCAATGAAGAAATGGAAACCACAACTCAGACCCCGCTCGATTGGTTCGGAACCCAGTTTGGGCGTTGGTTGGCCCACGAGCTGCTCGATAATCCTGCACAGATCCTCTACTGGGATTATCAACTTCAGTTCGTGCAGGCGGCCAAAGAAATGGCAGACATTGGTTTCCTTGGCGACGGCCAGAACTGTCTGTGTCATTTTGATTTTGCAGCCCGCAATGTCATGGTGCAAATTTTGCCAAATGGCTCACCGACAATTTCAGGCATTGTTGACTGGGACAGCGCCGTCTTCGCTCCAACATTCGTCTCCTGCGCTCCGCCATCTTGGCTTTGGACGGACCAAATAAAATACGATACAGATGGAAACGAGGTGGAAAGTGAGCCAACCACGGCAGAACAGGAGGAGATTAAAGAGAAGTTTGAAGAAGTCGTGGGGTTCGATTGGGAGTGGTTTGCGTATCAGCCGGGGTTTCGACTGGCACGAGAGCTGTTCTACTTTGCTCAGCACGGTAATCAAGATGGCTCAGCCACTATAAGAGCTCAGAACTTCTTGAAAGAATGGGCAGCGCTGTACGATTCGAAAATGAATCCCAAGGATGAGGACAGGAACAGTAAGGGTTCTACCGGCGGTGATGACACCGAAGAGGACGAAGCTATGGAAGAAGCTCAGCCGAATGCGGCTTCTGAATGAGTGTTTTAAATAGATCCAAGATACATGACCATGCCGACCGTATTTTGGAAACGGAAACTCGTCGCAACCGTGCTTGCTTTTCGTTCAGCCGTCTAATATTCTTTCCGCATTTGACGAATGATTTTCTCCGCAATCATCTCCCGCTGCGAACAGAAATGCATCCGCGAAGGGCTTTCTTTCCTCTAATGAAAGGCTCGAACAAAGCCAGCATCCATCTACCTTCTTCAAGAACGAGCGCTACTTCGTTTCCATTGACAACATGCCTCATACTTTTTCTAAACGCCTCATTTCACCCAACGACTTATACATTATATAAATAGACAGCTTGAATAGCCTTAGTGCCACAATGCCCCAACCGCCAGGTACCGGAACGACACACCACTGTCCTGGTAGAAAGATAGGGGTTTATGTCAAGATGGGACCCTGTTGTGTTGCACGCGGATGTTGCCGTACGCACCAGCTACAATGCCAGGATCCCCTATGTAAGGGCTGGATATACATGAACAGGAATTCTTGTCCCAAATGCAAGGACCGCGCTGAGGTGAGCTTTGATTTGTTGCATAATAGATTCCATACCGGTAAACTGACGTGTAAGCTATAGGCAGCAAGGAGAAAAGCCAACGCACCCGCAGACGAAGAGCAAGGATGGGAAGCACAAGAACTGGAACGAGAACGTGCACGGGCATCGCGTACCAAAGGAAAAAATCCTCTCAAAAAGGTGAGAAAAGTAGTGTGAACGTTTAAACCATCTGTGAGTCTTGTATTGGCACATCTGATCCCTTTTTCCCTATTAAATTGTATCAGGATAACCCACGCATTATCATCGCCTCGCGGGTGTTCCGGCTGAACTTTCATATACCCACAATCTGTTTTTTCTGTATTAGTCGATATGAGAATTGTTGTAGGACTGGTTATGTATCAGGGAATAGTACAGAAGTAGCTGCTGATGTGCGGCAAAGTCGCGAGTTGATCGAATCTTGTTCAAGCGCGTGGCTTTGGCATCAACACCTCTTCAGAAAAGCAGAAAAAGAATCGGAGTAGCTCAAGCCTAAGAAGATGTTCCTGCAAAACTCTACTCCTGGAATGCTCGATGCAAATACGTTGTTCTTGTCTTTCGCTGTGGAAATGAATTCGTTTATTACTCAATCTCGGCTTTAGTTTATAGCTGCCTGACTGGCATACAGCATAACGTAGTTTAGAATGCCGGTAATCATCCTTTTGGCTTTCGCACTCGCTTTCTTTTTCTGCTTACGCAAAGCCTAGAGAGACTGAGGAATGATATTAACATACTTGATAAGGTACACCATCGACTTGGTGATTGCATGTTGATGATGAGCTTTGGCTGGGACAATGACTATCCGCCACCCAGAAGAAACATCACAGTGGCATCCACGGCATCTGCGGTGAGGACTTATTACACAAATTCCCAAGATACCATATCGAAAGAGATAGTCGATGGCTTTATGAGTGAAGTGGCGGTGGCTGTATCAGGATTAGCGATAGCTTTACATGAAAAGCGAGGGTTCACAGTGCCCTAACGTTGTGAGAGATCAGCCTCTTGTGTTGAAAAGCCCAAACGTCAACAACAATGTGTCGAAGTCAACAACTCAATTTCGAACGAAGGACACTCAACACATCACCAACTCTCTTCCAAATATAAAGGTCCCGTTCTTCATCTTTATTATGCATTCTTCTTTCCATACTCGCCTCTGCTTCCGTAAGGTTTGATTAATATCCATCAACCAACGCTTCGAGTCTGAACACAACGCTCAACAGCTCGTGATAATGCCTCTACCGGCAACTGAAGAATTGTTCACCATACGGCGTAGTTCGAGGCTTCGGCAGAGACTGATATCATCTTCACGGCATGTTGCACCAACAAATGCGTCCTTATCCATTACATCAACACCCACAGCAGGTGGTATCCTACTCAAACTACCGCCCGAAATTCGTGACATGATCTACGCTCTCCTCTTCTCTGCCGGCGATCTTTCACTACTGCGCACCTGCCGGGGGATCAATACGGAAGCGCAGTCCATGTTCTACCGAGCAGGCATATTCCGCCAAGAAGCTGGCTACTCTGCGGTAAATCGACTTTACTACACATCGTCACAGTTGCTGGCTCAGGACTTTGAGCTTCGATGCAATCTAGACTATTACGTAGAATTTACTACTATCGAACCCGTTGTTAACTTCAGGCCTGCGTCGTATTTCGTTCATCGTGGCATCTACCGAAACAAGTTGCTCATCAAATTGAACTTCGGCATACTGTGTTCCTTATCAGAGATCAAGAGCGGTATCACGAAGGTCCTTGAGCGGCCGAAAAGCTTTGTCGGGTTCCGGGTTCTGGTGGTCGAGTTGATGCCGCGGCTTATGATTTTCGCCGACGAGGGCAGGATCAGGCTGTTCGTGAAAAACATACTGGAACCAATTCTGGGTCCCGCAGTTGAACATAATGGGGAAAATGGTCCATATATCAAATTCCGTCCCTGGAGTGCTGTGGGCCGTCAACATCATATCTTGGAGCCGGTGTCGATAACGTACGATGTACTGAACAGGCAGAGATTTTACACGCGCTTTCATGAAGTGGACCGTCCGGCTGATGAAAGCGAGGAGGAACATGGGGGCGGTGAAGAAATTGGTGAAGGAGAAGAGGTGAGTGGCGAGAAGATGGGAGTGGGTACGAATCAATTAAACAGAGAAGGAAGCGCCGGTGAAAGGATTGAAACAGAGGAAACAGAGGTGAGAAAGCGGAAGGGAGTGACAACCTAGCAGCTTGATTCACTCAAAGAGGCTATAGGACGTCGGCCTTGCAAAGACAGCAGACAAGAAGGGTGGAGCGATTATGTAGTCATTATCCGAGTTGCTGATGGGTAGCAGTGTCGGTAAGAACCCAATGCTTGCTCCAATAGTTGGAAGGTCATGGCCCAATCCAGGCGATTGAGAATCAGATTTACTATGTGCTCTGCGAGATTGCGTATCTAACAAAGATCATCTAGTACATTATTCAGTCCACAACCTTCGTTATATCCTGTAAATTTTTTTCAGAAATAATACGCACCTCGGAAGGAACATCCAAGTGCCGGACGACGACGGTTCCGAGTCAGACGACGACGGCCTAGAGCTGAAGAATGATTTAGGAGGTAGACTAGACGAAAGCTTCATGAACAACGTCTTCATTTCGTGGAGCCAGAACAATGTTGCAATGGGCGGCAAGAGAATCACTCTGAGTCAACGTGATAAAGTAGATGGCATCGAAACATTTGACTTCCTCTACATGTACTAAGTGAGGAACCATTTGCCACATGACCACATCAACGCACGGATAGATTATGATAAAGACAAATGGCCTTACTCTAGTGAGGGCTATGATCACGATGCTGCAGACAGAATTGGCGACCGGTATTACTTTATTTAAGAAAGCCGAGGAGTGCACCACCTTCAAAACAGTCTCACTATTATACTCTCCACCACTACCTTGTATCTCCTGGGGAACCCAACTATACAGCGGACAAGAGAATGTATATGCAAGTTCGAGGGATACTTGATCTCGCCAATGGCGGAGAGGTCAAATGGTGTCAAGAGAGATTCACGAAGGCTCAAAGTATTTGACATGGGAAGGATGGAGACAGAAGAAGCCTTGCGGGTGGGACCAAGTTCGGCTTGCTTGCGGATCACCTTTCCTTTCTGGCACCAACTCGAGTTTCTCGGCTGAGCTACAGAGGCTTGAAGAGGATGAACTGTCTGGCACAGAGGACACTGAATTACTAGGTATCGAGATATACGAAGTGCCAAATATGGATAGAGTTGAATTACCAGATACTGAGATTGATGGACTCATGGAAAGGAACGGACTATCATGGATTGAAGCGTTGGTTGAAGAAGCGGAGAGAATCCGCAGATAGCACATACTCTGCAGACACTAGCGAGGGATCTCTTGAAGTATTAGCTTCAACATCATCGATTTTACGCAGCTTTGTCTAAGGGGGACTGCAGGCTACCCGAAAATAAATGTGGGTTGCTTTGCCATAGCACTGCCCAAAGGTATGATAGATGAGAATCTCCAGCAGCCAAGCACCGGGACGCAACGTGCCCCTAATAAGCTTCGGCGTCAACATTGCTTACTGCATTAAGTCTGTTCGCATGCATGATGCCGCCAAGCTCGCGTCCTTTAGCACATAACCCAACACCGGATGTGCAAGACGCTGAGCCGAATCACCTAACACCTATCAGCTATGTAACCGAAAGCCCCCATAGGAACCCACAAAAGACGATGGAGTTCAATCATTCACTTGCGTTTGAACTCCTCGCCAGAGTCCTGGCAATTTCAGCCTGACCTCGCAAATTCTGCGAATCTTCCCTTGCGGTCGCAATGGTCGCTTGGATGCTTTGCAAGCCTTCCGCATGGTTTCTCAATTGCTCTTGTGCCCTTTCGCCTTTGACTGTTTCACCTTGGCGGGTTTCTCTGCGATTACTGATATTGTTAAAGCTTTCTTCGATCGGATGATTTGTTTTTTGTGTTGACACTACCATAGACGAATTGGATAATATCCTGCCATCCCATGCAGAAACCCTGATGCAATGCGTCCGTGCTTTCAATTCGGTTCCAACCTCGTTCGTGCAGGCCCGATATGTGGGTCACATGGTAGTGACGATCGTGGATTTTACATGACTCCTTGAGGCATTGTATTCGATCGTCGTGAAAAGAAGTTGGCAATAGATTGCCTTTAGATGGAAAGACGCGGATGTATTTGAGGTCTCGACGAAGATTGGATAGTTTTTCCTGCAGAAGGTAGATGATCTCGAGTTTCACGAGACATAGCAAGGTCAGTAGAGCTTGCGGTGTTTGACTTTCGACTCAAGGTTAGCCTTGATATCGGCATTCCTTGCCAACATCCAGACGTATTTGTATCTGACGGGTATCAGCAACACCTCCGGACTTGTCTGGTAAGACACGTAAATGCTTGATTTTGACGCGCTCGCGATGGCCTGCGCACCCTCTTCGAGCCTGGACCCTCTGGAGGATTTGTTTAGCTGCTTTAGCTTCCGCCCAATTGGCGATAATCATCCAAATCCGACTTTTCTCGTACTCTAGGATCTCAATTTCCTAACGGAACAGCCATTGAGATCGTACGTCTTATACCATAGACAGAGGCATCTAACATCAGCGTTGGTAACAATTATATCCAGGTTCTCAAAAATTATCATGTGTGGACCCAGTTTCTTACGTCGTAAGTACCTGACACCCTCGTTTGTCACCACACGATTGATGTTCGCAACAACTATGAGCTCGTGGCAACGAAACAGGTATTTCTGTCCCTCCTACTCTGGCTGTATTGAAAGCGCGGTGACCTATTGACTATTTAGTCACCCGTTCCAGGGACCGGCATAAGGCTGTCTAACCCGCTAGGTCGGCAAAACAACTCCGGTCTAGAGGACTTGAGCACTGAGATCTATCCTGCCAGTGATAGAGAAATGAGTCAACTAGCTCTGCGCCTCTAACGTTATTGAGGGAAACTCGACGCGCCGAACTATGTTCGTCAAAGGTCATACAACCTACGACTTCTTCGTGGCGGTCAGAGAATGGTCAGGAGCCAAAGGCACATCGAGAATTTGCTACAAAATGAGCTCTTCCTGGATGCTGAGGTCTTCAGAGCCAGAAACATCACATTCATTTCCCGTTGCAGGACTTTCTGACTTACCCTGGACACTACGGTCTTCAAAGTCATAGACGTGGGTTCCTTCTCCGTTGCACGACTATTTGACTCGTCAATAGTTTCGGCATGGGCTCTTGGGACTGACTGAATCTATCTGTTGATGGTTAGGGTCTAAGGGTAGAATTGGCTAGGTTTCTGGCAGTGATCGGGCCTCTGATGGTTGTCGTTCTGCTACTTCCGCGCTTTGCGGAGGACGATCTCGGGACAGTAGCTGGCTTGGTGAGTGCGCGAGAATCATGGACGAACGTGCAGGATTAGCGAGTTCTTTTCCAAGCCGACTTGACTGTCGTCACAAGAGTTTGGTCTGTCGTCAGAGACATCCTCCACGGATAGAGTCGGAGTGAGAGGGTTCGTTTCCTCCGTGATGTCTCTGGCCTGTGGGTGGCTGCCGTCTTGCCTATTGTGTTTCGGAGGGGAGGTATCGATGTTTATGGTTATGGGAGGTCTCTGTCGTGGCCAGCCAACCTGTTCATGTGGCAACAGCATGCTTTGAGCCTCAAATTTTTAGAAACAAATTGTACAAACTCTGAAGGATGACGAAATGGACAAGGGCTACATCTAAAAGTCTATAAATGGAGACCGCGCAACAAATACCGATTCGGTTCGATCCAGTTGGACTGTTTTTGCTTTTCGGTATCTGTAGTAGGACTTCACCATTTACTTTTCGGAAATACAGTGGACTAATCGGTCTGGTTGTGCCCTCTCCCAGCTTGTACATGACGTTTGAGCAATGATCTAAGACTTATAATTTTTGGAAGTCACAGCCAGCCCTTATTCAAAACATTTACGAGAATAAGAGATATTCGATCATGGCGCCTCCACATAACCTGGAATTCCGATATTTCAACAATGAGCGAATAAAAAGGTCTCTGTTTCACCTCGGCCGTGTCGACTCGACTCGAGAAAGAAGGTTCTGTTCGATGAGTAGACATGAGAAGGGAGGCACAGTCGGGGTTTTTGGGACGATCGTGTATGAGTGTGACAGCCATGAAACGCTTGGCGCGGGGGCGTGAACATCAAACGCAAGCACGACTAATGGAAATGATTGGGATATGGTTCGAGCTTAGAAGCCCTGGGAAGATTTTGCTGCCCCATGCCTGTTGTTCGTCGACGGCGCTCGCGTCTTGTCACAGCCCAAGTCGTCAACCCGCGCGATACGCAAAGAAATGGGCCCAAACATAGAGATCAAACAATAGACTGTTGTATCTGACTGACGGGAAATCTTAGTCAAGTACTGTTATGTGCATTGGGTGAAAATAGAATATCTTGACGTAGTGGGAAACATGAGAGGGAGAAGTCAGCAACTGCAAGTCAATCTGGCTCTAACCAGACAACCCCGCCTTCTCTTCTTGTCTTACCTCAATTCTCGACGGTATTTCATGACCCTACGTGCGTGCTCTCAAACTAACGTGACTTTGTTTTTGAGGTACGAGAGGTCCACGGGTGGAATACCTTCATCCTCAGCAAAGAAATTGAGAACCCTATTTGCAATCCACTCGGGACTTTCATCTCCTACGTTGCCGTCAGCGCTGTCCCAGGAGTGACGAGTGCCACAGTGCGGATCTCGAGTATCCTACCGAGCCAATGCCCAGCCTTCGGAACGATGTCGTAGCTGGGATTCTGCAAGATCGGGCCCCAGGTCTGCTCCAGCAACGCCATGGATGTTAGGTCCGCTTCTCCTCCTGGACTAGAGCCGGATTCTCTAATCGTTGGACGCCTAACGTCGAATTGAAAAATACAGCGTCATCCTCGGTTGTATTGAAGTACTCAAGCCCAGACCGCAGATAGCCCGCCTTCGAGATCTCGCGCCTACATCTGTCTAAGTAGTCCTGCGAAATTACCGAGTTGCCAGAATATGACGCATGCCAGAAATACCATGCTAGCATCTGCTTTTCCTGGCCTTGAATGAAGTACTGTGCAGCATCAGGAACGGAGAAAAAGGCGAGCTGCCAGTTCTGGTACAGGCCGGTTACACCGAGCTCTGGAGAAAAACCCTCTCGTAGCCAAAGCCTGGAAGAACATATTCGGTATAGGCAGCACGCTTTACCAGTGAGCGATACTTGGCATTAAGTGCAGCGGATTGGCCATTCCCCTTGTCGTGCGCCACGAGATAGGTCTGATTGATGTTCAAGAAGTCGAGGACGCCTTTGAGATCTTCAGATGCTGTAGCGGAAGTGAAGTCGTAACTAGACGGTATCGTAGACTGCCCCAATCCTCGGATATCAACAGCGATGACGGTGTAATTCTGGGCAAGATTTGGCCCGATGGTATGCCACATAAGCTATCAATGCTAGATTAGCCGAACAATGGCCATCAACGAGGAGATCGAAAACTCTGGGGGAGCTTACCGAATGTTGTGGGTATCCATGCACCAGCAAGATTGGCGGACCAGTTCCAGCATAGCGGATGTATATGTTGACGTCCGGCAAAGCCACTCTTTGATAGAGCCAATCATCGAATGGTACCATATCGGTAGCAGCAAGCTGCAGTATGATGGAGAGAAGCAGCAACTTGAATGGTACCATTGTGATCACGTTTTGTACCGCAGAATTCTTGAAAGGCGAAAGGCAACTTTATATTACGATCAAGCAAAGGGAAGACTTGAGAACGAGTCGGTAAATCTAACGCACCAGCCGATGGCGTAGCTGAGAAGACGGCACTAGACTATTAGTCAAGCTCTGGTCAGCTGCTTACAATTTCGCCCAGAGACAATGAAGGAACAATCTCCCCAAAGTCGATGAATTTGTATGTGAACATTTGGGATTGACTTTTTAATTTGCAGCTGCGCAGGATGCCGGAGCATTTTAGCGCAGACCTACTGCAACAACAGGCTTTGAGGTCACCACTAATTCATCCATCTTACCCAGGACATGAAGACTCGATGCCGGTCCATCCTATTGGGAGGCCAAAGATTGTGAACCCTTTCAAGAAGATCCTTCACAGTAGAAGCCCGTTCTGAGAAGAGATCCCACGTCAAGCGTCTACCGAGTATTGAATGGTTGGATTCCCTCGAAGCTCCAAAAGCTTCAAAGGACATTGACCACACGCGCACGCTGTCGTGAGCGTTTGAGTCCGGACGAGCGGTGTATCAGCGCAAAAGCCTGCTTGCGACTGACAGTACTCGCAGGCGCTGGCGTCATGATTACTGAACAATGGGAGGTTTGGTATTATGTTCTAACGAAAGTTGAACGCTACTCAATGAGACCTTCCTTTCTATGATTGTTGCCTCAGTTCCTCGAACGTGCCAAGGTGCTAAGGCCCTTCGGGCTAATATGCTGACTTCGCAGCCTTTGATGCCAAGGAGCCTGAAAGTTCCTTAGTAAGCAGAGAAGGCTAGCCCGAGAGGGCTTAGCTGATGTGAAATGAGCTTACCTAGCTTGGTGCAGGCTGGTCAAGCAGCCTCGTCTGTTTTTGCATCACTTGCTTCTGATGCTTGAACTCTATAGTGGAATATAGACTACCTCTTCGTACTCAACGCCAATAACAGTGTCTGTTAAGCGACTGGCCTTTCCATCTCACCCGTCAAATCCGCGTCGAAGCAATGGCAAAAGTTGTGGATGCTGCCTTTACCAAGGACCTTCCGAAGGTTGAACTGCATGCTCACCTCACCGGAAGTATCACTCCACACTGCCTTCACCAGATATGGACCCAAAGAAGGTTGGAAGACCCAAACATGTCACTGCAGGACCCATTAGAGGCTATGTCAAGAGACAAATCATGGGATATCATGACGTTCTTTCCCTTGTTCTCAAAGTACATCTACGAGCTATGCTCCACGCCCGCAAGCATCATTTACTCTACCAACGCCGTTCTGCATGACTTCAAAGATGATGGCGTCGTATATCTCGAGCTCCGAACTACCCCTCGCTCTTCTTCTTCCATGTCCAAAGACGACTATATCACTACCACTCTTTCCTGCATTGACCGTTTTCCAGACCGCAATGTCATGGCCACGTACCTTATCCTCTCCGTCGATCGTCGCAATTCCCCTGAAGAAGCAATCGAAGTGGTCGACCTAGCCATCCGGTACCGATCAAGGGGCGTTGTTGGCGTCGACCTATGCGGTGATCCAAGCAAAGGCGATGTTTCAACGTTCAAAGAAGCCTTCCATAAGGCCAAGCTGTATGGATTGAAGATCTCGCTGCATTTCGCGGAAATCCCTGCTTCATCTTCATTACTGGAGCTGAGTACCTTGCTCTCCTTCCAACCAGATAGACTGGGTCATGTTATCCATGTTCCCAACGAAATCAAGGATCAGGTGAAGGACAGAAAGCTTGGCCTCGAGCTTTGTGTCTCGTGCAACGTGAAGGCAAAGCTGATCGAAGGCGGTGTGATAGACCATCATTTTGTATCTTGGGTCAAGACAGGATGTCCTGTCATTTTATGCGTGAGTGTTTCGATGCATCATCCAGCTTAATGGCTAACTATCTTGGTGCAGACGGACGATGTTGGCGTCTTTGATAGTACATTGAGCAACGAATATCTCCTGATTGCTCAAGCTTTCAATCTAAGCCGAAACGATCTGATCGACCTTTGTGACCGAGCAGTTGAGGCCATTTTCGGAGACAAGCACCAGAAGCAGAGACTCTGGGCACTTATCAATGATGCTAGGGTGAAATGGATGCACACAGATTGACCGGACATGGTCTTTTTCTTTTCATGAGGTCACTTCATCTTCCTCACGCTACCTTCCGTGGCGACATCCTTACTTGTTCAGGTAGGTACAACCCACAGCCTATCCGCCGGTTGTGTGCAGCTGATTGCCCAAAAGACAAGCGATATATAAGTACCCATTAAACAATAGAGGAAGGGAATCCTGCCATTGGTCGCGCCCGAACTTCTGAAGTAAGAGCAGTCACTTTCGCGGACTATGTCCAGGCAAAAGCATCTCGATTCAGACAACCTTACCCATTGATTGGCACGTTTCGATCAACACCCCGTGCCTTCACCGTATCAACTCATTTGCTCAAGAATATCGCGCAATACTAACTGCATATCGTTGCCGCCACGCGCTCGGAAAATAAAAAGTGGGATGAATTGCGCGTTCGAGAGTCGAGACTCGGTTTCTGACGTGAGACGCCAGAAGCATAAACAGGCACGATCCTCTAGCATGCCCATCTTCGTCGTCAACTGTAATTCGACTTGCCAAACTCCTATGTCTTGTGCTGTTGTGTAGATGGAAAGGCCCAGTATGCAACCCCACGCGAACCCGACCTTACTGGCGCTTCTCCTCTTCCTCACAGCCGCTGCAATCGCCATTGCCGTCCCATACCCAATGAATGGTCTCACCCCCAGCCAAGCTCACGAGAATCCTCTCCCCTCACGTACAACACCACATCAATCTCCTCAAAAACGAGATTCCTCCTTCAGAATCGAGAACCTCCCCAATGGCTATACCGGCATCTTCACCACCTTCGTCTCCATCTGTCCCAAACTCCCCGCCACCGCAACCTTCATCCGCTTTTTCAAAAACGCCGCGGTCCAATCCGCCACGGACCCTTCGCCCGGTCGCCGCCACCAGCGTTTCACGTTTGGGGCGCTGGCGCTGGAGTTGGTGGTGCAGGGGCAGGATAAGGTGGTGAGTCGGGAGTTTGTGCAGGCGGCGAGTCTGTGGTTGCTGGATGCGGCGATGAAGGGATGGACGGGGTTCTTTAGGGCGTGGGTGACCGATGGGAGCGACAATGAGGTTGTGGAGATTAGGATGGGGACGGTTTTCGATATGCCGGCTGCAGACGGAACGTATATTGAGCCTTGATGGTCTAAGGGAAGGGCACATGGATGGGTCGTAGCATTGACTGTATGAGATTTTGGAATATGAGGGAGTCAAGGCGATGGGAGTTTCGTTCCTTGTCAACCAGATGCTCGCTGGGAAAGAGTCATCTGCAAATCTACCCGAGAAGTCAGAAGCCTTCCCTTGACATTCCCTCCCACCAATCCCATTCTCGTTACTGTGTAAGTCCATCAAACCAAACAGTGGCATGAAAGCACTCAGACCGTCTCGCCACACGCATATCTTCCCACTTCCCTTTTCCTCCTCACCTCTCATCTCAATACCCTCCTGCTAGTCTTTTACAAAAAACCATTCGCCATCTATCCAAAGACCGGGGCGATGATTAAGAAAGAAAACCACCTGACCTCAGCCTAACCACATATACACCTCATGGCATCACACCAACAATACCCTTTCTCTTTCACATCATCAGCACGAATTGAATTGAATGAATGAATAGACACCGACCAGCCGACGATGATGAGGAAAAAAGCGCCAGCCAAGTATAAACCGCGTTACACACCAGCCTCATCACACATCTGCCCTCTCCTATACACGAAACTCCGTCAGCACAGATATACATGTACAGAACACGAACAATATAAAAACACTAGCATCCATGAGTCAGTCACGCAGACGATCAAACACCGCCAGCCCTCCAAAACGCAGTAGGTAAATCATTAAAGCTCAATAACACAATCACAATCACGATATCTACATGTACTAGTACCTTATACAATGGACGGTAGGCCTGCAAGCGGCGTTTCGAAATCACCCACACGACAGATAAGAAGCAAAAATGCCGACTCCGCAATCGGATCCGAGATGACTAGCCAGCCTCAGAAAGGACAAGCCTACCAGCGCTCACAAAGGTTACATACGGCACGACGCTCAACGAACGAGCATGTCTGTCTGCCTTCACTCGTGAGGCAGTTAGATAGCAACGCGCGCAACCACTGCGCACTGTCACAACATGCAGGACTGCGATGAAACGTCGCTCACCGTGGTAGTCCACTCGTTGAGGACTTTCACTTCTCAACCAGTCCGAACCTAATCATCCATCCACTCCATCCCAAACCCGACTGACTCCCCCAACCCATCACACCTCCACAAACAGCGAGTCAAAAATTTCCAAATCCATTCCTCAGCTACCTAGTTACAAATGGCGATTACAAAATCTACTCTATTCTCCACAATTCCAAAACCTCCTATGCAATAATGTACCCTCAAACCAACCATCCATCCCATCACAAACTCTCCCAATAATCACCGCACAACCATCGTCCCTACCTTACCTAGCCACCAATTGCAAAACTCGGCACTTCCCGTCTCCCCCATCCATCCCGGGAAAAGGCTGATCCGAAACCCCCAGCGCGTACGTAGAGTAGAGTACGGGTACGATGTTGGTGATGACGTGGCAGGGGGGGGGGATGATAGAGTAAGCCTACCCGCCAAAGAGTGCGCATGGCGGTTTGATGAGGGAGTAGAAGTGGAGTATGTAGGTCGGAAGGGAAAGGGCAAAGTGGTTGTAATTTCCGAGACCCATGGATGTACCTTATGCGGTCGTATGCCAGTCGTGACTTTAATTAGAGTGCACCGAGGTTTTGGAATGCGTTGGAGATGATGTTGGTGGGTTGAGGAGATTAAGTATCAATGTGCGTGTTGGTATTCGTGTTTGTTTATTAGTCTCGAAGACGGGCCGAACAAGGCAGATTAGAGGGCGTGCGCGTTCACGGCGCGATGATGCATCGCGAGGTATCAACATGACATGATTAATTCGGTACGATTGTATGAGCACGTGGGCACAGCGAGATCAAGAAGTGAAGGTTTTAAGTCTGTCGGATTTGTGACAATTATATAATGGATATTTGCGCCTGGAATGCCTGGTCTATCCTACATTCGGTGGCAACCAAGCCAAATGCAACGTCGTAAACAAGTGTCCAGTAAATTTTCAAATGAACACCAGCGCATCTACATCATCCCTTTGAACCTCGAAACGCGTACGCAGAGGTAGGTCTGTAGGAAACCAGAACCGAAAAAAGCCAACCGTACAGCCGTCATCAAGTAAAGCAGACGTCGACCGCTTACAGGAGGTAGGCAGCGAGACCGAGGAAACCGGCGAGACCGACACCGGCACCGGAGAGCTTGTTGGCCGCACCCTTGAAGGGCGCAGCGGTGGTGGATGCCTTTGGTGCGACGACGGAGCCAACGGCAGTACCAGCGGGAGCCGCGGGCGCTGTGGTGGTTGTCGCCCCGGCCTCTGCTGCGGCGGGCGCGGGGGTGATGGTGGTGGTGAATGGCACCACAGTGCTGCTGGAAAAGGGACCTTCAGACACGGTCACCGTCTGGCTGGGGGTGGCAGTGTAGGTGCCGACCGAGGCTGACTGGGTCACGGTGATGGTCTGGCCGGACACGCTCGCAATGTGGGTGGCTGTGCTGAGGGAGTTGACGACGGCGGTGAAGGTGGTTGGGCTTGGGCACACGCTGACGTAGGTGCTTGGTGCGGTCACCAGCAGAGTGGTGGAGCTTGGGCAGACGACGGTCGAGGTGGAGACTAGGGTTGTGCTGACGGTCAAACCAGTGGTGGTGACTGGAACGCCGGGAGTGTAGACCACGCTCTTGGTCTCTGTGCACGGGCAGCCTTCGGTGATGGTGAGGGTCTCATTCTGCGCGACGGGTCAGTAGGCGATTCAAGAGACAGTCTCGTTGCGAGTTCCCTTACCACAGACGCAGTGTAAGTCTTGCTGCCGAATATGGCGGTGGTCGCGGCGGGGCAGAAAACGGTGGTGGAGGTGAAGATGTCGGTGGTGGTGGTGGTATATGGCGTCGCTGGGATGACGGTGGTTTTGGTGCAGCCGCAGTCGGTGATGGTGGAGGTCTCGAAAGCGGTGAGAGTGAAGGTCTTTGAGGACCCGGTGATGGTGGTACCGGTGGCACCGCAGGAGACGGTGGTGGTGTCCACGAGGGTGGTGGTTGTGTAGGAAGGACCGGCGGCAGAGCCAGCGCTCATTGAGTAGTTTCCAGCCCAGGCATTGGCAACACCAGCGGCGGCAGCGAGAACTAGAATTGCGGACTGCATATTGAAATTTGATTGGAAAGGTGAAGAGAGTTCTGGGGCGGGGTTATTAAAAGAGTATTAGAAGTAGAAACAAGTAATAGTGAGAGCGATTGGAACAGTGCTTAACGAGTGACTGTAGATTTGTTGATGAAGAGAAGGATGAGAAAAAAAAAGGACAAGATTTGATTCGGGGAATGGGCTTTGTTATAGGAGATGCAGGTGAGCCAACACGGGCTGTGTGATGCAGCCCTCGTATTGCTTTGCTCCCTTTCTCTCCCTTTTTTTCTCCCCCATCACTAAAGTCTGACTAATTTCTCGCTTGAGATAACCCCTGCAATAACCTACAGATATCCATGTCAGGTAATTTAGTTTAATGAGGTTGTACTTTATTCTGATTAGATCGGATATCAAAAATAGAATCATCGTTCTACCGTAGGTATTCCTACGGCGAGGATCAACGGCTGTGCATACGGAAGGGCAGGGATTTTCCCCTCAAAATTCAGGGATCATGCAGAATTTAGTACTTACGCAGGAACCGAACCAGGCACCAAGGCGGACAAGGAAGAAGCGGTGAAGTCAAATAATCTCCAAAGTCATCACAGACGGAAAGTGCAGCCGGGTTACCCCTGACTAGGTAAGGTAAGGCCAAGTCGCTGAAACATCCCTTACGAAATGCCAAGACTTTCCCCTCCACGCACTCGTTAAAGGATACCGTATTTTCCTTTATACATGCCAAGCCTTTCATTTCCGACCCACGCTAAAACTGAAATTTAGATCCGTCGCGAGACCACTGGCCAATGCTAGAATGCCATCTCCAACTTCCTTTCCCGTCTTCGCGAGCTATTGCGCCATGGTCGCTGTGAACTCAAAAAATGGGGGGAGAGAGGAAGAAAAAGAGAGCTGCCTGGAGAAGTAGGTAGTATGCAGAAAAGTCTTTGATGTAACCTACCGTAGGTATTGTAGTCAAAGCGCAATGAAGACATGCAAGGATGCATATGCATATGCGCATACCCACGTCGATGCTGTCTTCCCATTTGCGCGGTCCATCGGAAATAGGTCCATGTAGGTAGCTACATACAGTACGACTTTAGGTACGGTACTTCATGATGGTAACAAGTAACAACAAACTAATGTCGGTTGGTGGCGGGAGGAAAATCAGCTTTTGTTTGGATTCTGCCTCTGCCTCCGGCTGACAGCTCCGCCTTGAGCGCGTCCACGCCGATCATGCCAAGGAATCACAGTCTCAGTTCTAGAGGGGGGTATGCCGTAATGTGCTTGCGATATGATTGGCCCCCGAAGCGAGGAACGAGTGTAGGGCTGGTCATAGGGTACCCCCTACTCCGTAAGCGAGTCTGAATACTGAGACAGGAATCACGGCTTCACCGGCTCACTCGTCATCAAATCAAAAGACTGTGAGTCATTCGCGTGATTGTATAGATTAGCTAGCTACTACTGTTCATGGAAATGAAAGTGCAACGAGTTACCTCGTATGGGGATCGGGGAGAGATGATAATGATGATGATTAACATTTACCGCTCCGAAATAACATCTGTACCGGTGAGCAGGAAGAAGGTTCGCGAGATGATACATGGTATATACAGTATCTTCAGCCTTGCCTTGCTGCATCCTTCGGGTCTGTATCTGATTCCCTGGGTCTGACCATCTGCAGCATCTGCATCTGCATCTGACATCAGCCCCCGACTTCGCCGTGATTTTGGATTTTAATTATTCCTGTGTACGGAGTACCGTAATAAATAAATCCTTTGACGAGAGTTGGTCCTATCCCTTCTCCCCTCGCATCCTCCGGCTTTTCCGATAACATGAGGCAATTCTTTTCCAAGCAGACATCCATCCGGTATCTTTTGCCGGAAGGCAAGATTTGCCGTCCGTCCAATCAGTCAAGCAACCTCGCGAAACACTCTACTTGTACTTATAATTAAATGCTCCGCTTCCTTTTTTCCTTCCCGCCAACATCAGCGCCCATCTCCTTCCAACACGGAGGAGACTAGAATGTCTAAAGTCGGTGTTGCCAAGGCATAGTACCGTATCTGCTCAACGCTGTTGGCCATGATCACATTCATGTATTGACAGCCATGCTCATCCACTGTGACATGTACGTGCCTCGGTCGTATCATGCAATGCGAGGGGCTGAGTGCGCGCCATCGTCAGTCTTGAGCACGAGATGCAAGAAACCCTCCTTCTTGCTATCCTTTCTTTCATCCTTTCGCTATGGCCTTGTCCGCCGTGCTGCTGACTTGTCTCCTGGCCTTCCTCTGCTGGCGCTGTGTGATCTTGATTGTGCAAGAAATCGTTTGCGTCTTGCTATCAAGCCGCTCCAAACTTTAGATCAGGATGCCAGCTCCTATTGAGCCTTACCCTGATGCAAAGTTGACAAAGCTTTTTTACATGCATTGCCCTTGTGTCTCCCTAAGATTGAGGAATGCGTTTCTATCAAGGGGTGATCTTCAAATTGCATATTTACACGCTAAGGCACACACGCCTCACCGTCCACAGGATTTCAATGGTATTCACCGACAAAGCAACGGCGGCGCTCTGCAGCATTAAGTCCAAGACCCCAACCACGACCACAGCTGAGACAACGAACGCAAATGGCACGACCACAATGACAGGGTCAACGGAAGCCACGCCATCAGAAACCATCATAACCTGTCGCTACCAACAAGCCTGCGCGTGACGAAGACCCCAGCCCGCCCCACAGACGACCGTGTCGGACAAACGGTCCACACTCCGCCTCAGCACCACCTGCATCTGGATCTGGTTTATCCTCGGGTACAGCGTATTCGCCGTCGCCTACGCCAGCTACGGCATGGGCCGCGCAAAAGGGACGCAGTGCCGCTGCCATTTCGACGACACGATCCGGCTCGCCGATACGACCCCCACTCTCTGCGACTACTTGCTCCGCAGTCATAATAATAATATGAATGATGATAACGATGATAATGATGATCCCGGCATTGATACAGTCACAGGGGTCAAAGCTCGGTGCCTAGCGGCGACGGAAGATCGCGTCGCGAGTGTTACGGAAGAAGGGAGCAAATGCCCGGGCTCGTCTTCGCGCTTTCTCCGCCGCGGACGCGTGCTTTCTGGGCGGGGGTGGGGCTCTTGGCGTGCTATTGGATTCCGTTCGGTTGCCCTCTCGCGTCAATGGCGGTCGAGGCGTGCAGGGAGTCGTTTGGAGTGGGAGACGGGTTCGGAGAGATGGAGAGTCTTGACGGGCGTGGGGGTGTGAAGGAGTGTCTTGATGGCTACGGATGAATTGGGTCGAATCGGATTGCGGGGTTGATGCGAGATATGCCTGAGGATCTTGAGTAAGTGGAGGAGCTGGCATGGATGGGGATGCTGTTTGTGCGATATATATCATGGCGATGGGATGTTCAACCAGATTTCATTGCTTCCATGCGTCTTCTGGCACACCGCGTGATCATCATCAATGCGCCAGCGTTCTCATACCGCATCTCCCCTACTGACACAACGCGCTTCCTTGCTTGCCCTCCAGGCATTATATATATCTACAGAACACGCAGCCATGTCTACCTGACATCTAGTATACTTGAGCATATCAACCCCTTCACATCGACGATCGAGCATCTTTACAGCCACGGCTAAAGAAAAGGCCACATAACCTCCTGTTCTGACCAGTGTAACACCGGATTTGTACTCGGTGCATTCAGAAAATACAAGGGCATATATGATGCATTCGCTTTGCCAGGGTCTCGATCATGGGCCGTCTCTCGTCTCTCGTAGACTCTACTTCAAGAGACGCAGAATGGCTACCTAGGTGCACCGCATCAAGGAACTGCTGCCCGGGACGTAGGAAGAGAGCCTCCGGATCGCATTCAACGCGCTCTCGTTCCGGTGCATGTCAGCATCTGTACGGCCACCATCCAGGCCGTGGATACACACCCAAGGGGGGATATCAGAATGGCCCCATGAGAGTGCACAGCATCTTTAAGGCCAACCATTCCGAACACTCTCCTCACCACCGCCTCATGGCCCACGGCTTCTCAGACAAAGCTCCCCGGGACACAGAACCCGTCTCGCAAACCCACATCAACGAAGTAGCGAGCAGACCTTCCGCGAGCAAAAATCATCCGTCGGATACTAGCGCCACCGTCGTCAACCTCGTCCATTGGTACCCATCCACCGGATACGATATCACGAGCGAACAAATCTTCCGCGAGCCCTTCAACCGCATCAGATCTGCGCGCGCATCTCATCCCCAGACCTCGATGCTCGACAAACGACACGGAAGCGCTTCCCTCGTCCGCTTCGACCCGACGCCTCAACTTCCCCAACACGGACCGCGTTCTGCGACTTCGTGCTGCTCAAGAGCGTAACCCGAAGACAGTTGCCAGGACCAGTTCGACCTCGTGGGGGAAAGGGTCCGCAAACGATTGGAGACGTTCCACAGCGGCAGGAGGTGGTGATCCTGCCGCAGCACAAGGATGATCTGGAGCACAGATGCTCCGCGACGGCGATGATACCGGCGACGGAGGCATGGGCATACCGGAGGTTTGAAGCGAAGATCAATGACCTTTTGCTCGCCGGTGGCGAATCCTGCTCCACAGCCCTCACCGGTATCACGACTTTTCTACTGCGAAGTCCCAGCGAGCTGGCTATACTTGTAGACGATATCCGCACGGCTTTGGCACGTGAGACGGACATGATCTCGACGGCTGTGCACGAGTTGCGCCATCTCGGCGTTTTCATCGGAGAAAACCTGCGCCTCGCACCGTCTGTTCCTGTTGATTTGGTCCGCGTCGTTGCGCCTGAGGGCTAGTTTGGCACTGGGCATTGGATTCCGGTTTTGTGTACGTCCCCTGTTCTCATATGTGCTCGTTCCAATCCAACCCCTCACAAACGAGCTGCTCCGGACAATACTCACCTGTAAGGCGGACCAATTCAATCATCTTTCAAGCCCACGTCTCCGCCCTCCAATACGGCGCCGACCCCTCCGCACTGCTCTTCGACTCACCGTCCAGCTTCCGCCGTTCTGGTTGACTACCTCCCGATGCTGCGTCGTCGTCAGATTTCAACCCCCGTTCGCTCGGGCCCTGCGATTGTGTTGGGAAGAATGTTTCGTCAAAGCGAGATGAAGCTTCTGCTCGCGACCTTATTGGGGGCGTTTGGTTTGAGGTGGGAGTGGGAAAGGTACGGCTGAGAAACCCAGAAGACTCTTACTTTGTGGCCACTGTGGTATAAGCGATCTTTGGTGGTCAACCTTAGGGAGTGAGAGCAAGATGGGGGCGGTGTGATGTGGTATGGTGCTGCCGGTTCTGCAAAGCGAGGATGCTCGTGGGAGAGGGCCAGAGGTTGGGAAGTCGAGTCTGCCAGGGTGATGAGAGTGCGCAGATTTGGATTATTCTCTTCTATTTCATTTGGTGATCCATGTGTGTAGCTCCCCCAGACGTTTAGGCGTCTTTCAACCGGGCCATCTGAGGCATACCCATTCGCATCATATTTTACTCTTCGGCCCGTCCGCCAATTACCTTATCCGTAGACGCCCTGTTCGTCCATCTACCTATGTCTCCAATTCCCTTCCGCGCCCATATCCGCTGGACTCATGAGATACCCAACGAGATCCACGCACAACCATTACCTCCCCAATCCTCATCGAATGCCAACCCCCGTATCCACTCATCTCTTTCACATGAATGACCCACGGACCGAAAGCCCACTCCTCCCTACCCACAGCGCATCCTCATTCCCTTGAATTATGTCCTCCTCACGTACATACACGCCACGCATCCTCCTCAGCGACCCATGACCCGCCGTCTCATCACTCCTAGATCGCGCACGACCGCCCCGGAGAGCTAGAACGTAGCCAAGCAGCTGCACGCCGAGAGAACAGGAGGGCTGGCTGACAAGATCACAGGAGTGCTGCGGCCCAAGGTGGGGGACGGTATATCAGGAGGGAGAGGGGCTCGAGATGGTGATGGCATTGGTGATCTAGGTAGTTTGGTTGAGGTGTGGGAGGATACGCTGTACTCGTTGTCGTGGAGAAGGGCATGGAGAGCGCATGAGGGCGGTGAGGCGCAACGTTTGGGCAGATGGAGCTGCAGTTGATTAGCAGAAAAGGGTTGTAGAAAAGAAGAGCATGGAGGCGTTGAGAAATGATCATCCATCGCCCAGAAAGTTTTGAAGATGGGATGAATAGCCGAAGAAGGAAGATCTCTTGGCATCCCAATCTCGCATAGCTTGCGAGGCCACTAACAGAACCACCAACTCTGCTTTGCCTCCTCCAAAACCAAAAAAAAAATTTCTTTTCTATATAGGTTCTCAATCACAATTAATCATAATCTAAAAAATTATTAAAACTAAATAAATAGAGTATAGATAGATTATAAAATTCTTAAAAGATTTAAATTATTCGTTATATTGTAAAATAGAATAATAGTAAATTTTACGAAGTACAGAGGTCTGCACCGAAAGTCCTGCACCCGCCAAGACTCTTGCGCTCAGACTTCGGATAACGCCCCACCTAAAGGGTTACCTGGATAATGCGTCTGAGTTCTCGGAATCGCACCTAGCCCTAGTCAGGTTTCGGGGCTACTATCCCTATCAAGGCTAAAAGAAATACCTTAAGTCCCATTATGCGCTGTGAGAAGATATTTTTAGGCTCCCTCTACAGGCCGCTTTCCGAAAGTAGGGTTAGGGCTGCACTAGTGCGGGTGCAGGACTTTCGGTGCAGACCTCTGTACTCTTGATAGCATTTAGAATACCGAGGTAAAAAAAAAAACTTGATATTTATTCAGATGATTTTTCAGCGCACCCTCGACAATGTTAAATTAATATTTTAATATTTTACTACGTTGTATAAGTTAAATTTTTTAAATACTTTAATAATAATTACTTGGGTATATAAAGTATATATTTTATAATTCTTAGACTATAATTAATTGTGGTTATGAACCTATACAGAAAAATTGAAATTTTGATTTTTAATTTTAGGGTGCGCCAGAACTGTAAGAATTTTTTTCTTTCTTAAGGATTATGCAATCAGGGGTAACGGAACCACCAACTCTGCTTTGCCTCCTCCACCATCTTTGGTGCCTCACCGAACACCGAGCACCGCACAGTAAATCATGCCAACGGAATGAGAGGAGTTCAAATGTGAGGGCTGTGAATGACCACTATTACAATGAACGCTATCTATCAACAACCTCTCCCGCCATATTTTAGGTTCCTGCACCACACACAGTATTATACACTCCGGGAATACCAACGCAGCGACTCCCTCTCCTCAAGCCTTCATGCAAATATCTCTAGTTCATCCGTCATCGTCGGCGATAGCAACGACCTAACCGCGGAACTTCATCATCCTCACTTTCGTGCTGTTAGTCCCACCAGTCTTAGTGCCGCTGGTGGACAATCGAGAAAGTTCCTTGGATGAAGTACCAGTGCTCAAAGGCACAAAGGCACCATGAGACGGAGACCCGCCCTTGTGCTTCTTGTGCTTCATGAATTCCATCCATCTGCTTGACATTAGCAAAGGTTTGTTGATTGGAATTCAGGGATGCAAAGCATACGTCATGCCATCCGGTGGTACTTCACGTTCCTTGATTTTGGTACCGTTGGTGCTCGGAGTGTCGGAGCCACCTACTCTGTGTTCGAAGAACTCGGGTAGTCCGCTAGGTTCGCTGGTTGGCCTCCTACTTGGCATGAGCTTGACGACCCCTTTGATATAGAAGATACACATACTCGTGATGTGCCTCACGTTCCTTGATTTTGGTATCATTGGTGTTCGGAGTGCCGGAGCCACCAACCTTGTGTTTGAAAAACTCGGGTAGTCCGCTAGGTTCGCTGATTGGCCTCCTATTTGGCATGAGCTTGACGATCTCATGCGTGATATGGAAGATACACATACTCGTGATGTGCCTCACGTTCCTTTAACTTCGTGCCATTCGAAGCCGGGGTTTCACCGCCCGACTTGCGATCTTTCCACCACTCCGCGCCTCCAATATGGCTGGCAAATGGAGCACCTGGAGCACTGTCTAATGTTAGCTTGGTGGTCTTGCCCAAACGGACAAATATTTTCTGGCACTGGAGCACTTACACGTGGGCCTCGCGGTCCTCGATCGTCCTTGACGGCTCTAAGTCCTCGGGTCGAGGCAGGCTGTATGAGCCGATCAAGAAGAGGGAAGCGGCCGTAAAGAGGGTTGAGATACGCATGTCAGAAGAGGTGGAAAGAAGCACAGAGAGTACAACGGTAATGCTATGACGTTGTGATGCTGAGAGTCTGGAGTCCTGCAGCAGGTATAGAGAAGTATCAAGGTGGAGAGCAAAGAGAGGGTACTTATTGATGGGCAGGCCCCTTAATAGTAGACGAGAGAGAGGGCGCCGCACACGAAATAGGCCGAAGTCTCTTACACCGCGTCATCACATCGCTCTCGTGAAACTGGACCTGCGTCGTGGTGTGAGCCATCTTTCCGCCGAAACCGATATGGGCAAGTAAATGATGGCCGGTGGTTTTGGTGAGTAATACTCATGATGGGGCTAAGCTTTGTGGTGGAAGGCCCGCGTTCGGGAGGCCTAAAGTAGGTAGACTAGACGCACACGCCGCAACCGCATGTCTCGAGGCGGATTTTTGGAATCCTGAAACCCGAAAATATCGACGCCATACACCCTAAATGGGAAGCCTTTGCGATCATTCGGCTCATGGCTCCGGTCTTGTCCTATTGAGCCGCTATAATCAGTCTTCCGGGGCAAGGTCTTCGAACTTGACCGTCAAGTCAGTGTAACGCTATGTTGCATCTGGAAATCACGGCCTGTATCGAAGCACCTTTCAGGCAACATCGGTCTAATCTAGCAGAAAAAACCTGCTACATAGGGAGTGTCCATCTTGATATATCTTGCGAGGCTCAATGGAACAGCAATGCCGATATACGTCCCAGCATGTAGGGAAAAGTAGGACGTGAACAAGAGAGCCGCAGATACCATTCCCATTGCACTAAAATCGTGCTGATCTGCGACGACGGGAGACCCCTTACATGACATACTAGGAGAAGCTTAGGCTCAAGATCGCCCAATTAATACCATTCGAGCACCGTGCCCTGGCTCATTGAAGGCGTAGAGCTAACCGCGTGATCGAATACTAGTCATCAGTAAGCTCTTAACAGTGACCGGTTCCATGCTCATGGCGATTGCCGGCCATTCAAGGTCTGGGCAGACCTGCTAATTGGAGAGAAAATCGTGTCATGCATTCTGTAGGAAAGGACAGCGACGTGACGGTATCAAAGGGTCGGATCTAGGATCCTCTTTGGGGACAACTGATGCAGATCAAGCACACCAAGAAAGGAACGGTTGGGCGCACTCTGCACAGCGTCTGAACGTTCCGCAGTTTCGATTCGACCACACCTCGCAAACATGTGCCGGAGAGGCAAAAAAAGCTTGATACTCGTAATAGTAGAGAATATTACCAAGTGCTTTCATCTCCGTTGTGGCCGCAAGTTCCCGAACTGGGTCGAGATCCGAGAAAGTCGGACCATGCCAGGCGGACATGATGGTTGAAAGTCTCAGATCCACATCGACACGTTTATAATACCCCCAGAGACCTGCGCACGAACACAAGAAAGTGGGATGGCAAATCATCCAGAAAGGACAGAAGATCGAAAAGGGAATCGAATGGAAGGAGGCAGTGGACAAGATTGTGTAGTTGCGCTGCCATACCCAACAGAAGGCCAGCTTCGTCCGTGGGAGGGCCAATAGCTGCTTTGATGACAAGCGGTGACCGCCACCCCAGGTGTTGCAACATAGCAAGATGGTAATCGTGCTCGACGCATAGCTCGAACAATGCAAGTGTCAGCATCGTGATTGTGACGTACGGTCCAACATTCTAGGAGATGGGATCGATCAGTCGTGACGATGCCTCCAAGATAATATGATCGTCGAGTAATGCTTGAGACAGGGGGGGGCGAATATTCTGTCATAGATTGAAAGTTGAATGATTTGCCATGATAGGATAGTGAGAGATGGTGTGGGGCGAAGAAAAAGATGAGACCGCTGTCGTGAGGAAGGGGTCAACGCTCAAACGCCCTAGCCGCACGCTAAATTTTAGACTCCCAGGTCTTGGCGAACTCCGACACCGCTGTTGTTGACGCTCCTTCCTTTCGACCTTCATTTCATCTTTCCTCGCCTCAATAACATCAGATGAGGAACGTTTCAAACGCCTATCAATGAGACCCAGCTTCTCCCGATGGAGTGGAATTCAGAAGTCTCTGACGCCTTTGGCGAATGCAGGTCTAGCTGTCCGTGTCCGCTGCGTTGCGTTGCACCCTCTAGTTAGCTTCGTCCATATTTGTCGTTGGAGAGATAGTAGCTGAAATAGCTGTCGCCCCATCTTGAAGCTGCTTATTCTCAATATTCAACATGCAATGGTTTCTTTCACGTCGTATGTTTGATACCATGCGGGCGGTAGTGGAAGATGATGGTGGCCCTCTGAAGCCTACAACATGAATACATTGCCTTTACATCTGGTGTCTAGCCACCGTGTAATGGCGTCAACGAGCAAGAACATAGACCGAGAATGCGGTACCAGACCAAGCATACACCGGGGCTCGACTCCTCTGATCTAGACAATGGACTATTGCTGATTTCGAACCAGACATTGAGGATCATAAGTCATGATACGTATTTGTACTCAATTCACTCAAGGCATCGCCCACCCTCCCCAATTACCTCCAATATCCTCCCAGCCGCCTGGCCCCCAACACCTGAGATTTGGGCTTGCTGCACCATCTCGTTCACACCATCGATCATTCTCTTCTTCTCCCTTAACACTCCAGTTGTAATTTTGGCTTTTCTCTCCATCGCTGCCGCTTCTATGTCGTTCTTACGCTCTATGTGTTTATCCTCTTCGGCCCTTGCCCGCCGTGCCCGATTCTGCTGGTCCGAGAATTCCCTTCGTTTTTCTCCATCTCAGAATTCTGCTCGGTTTGAATGACCGCCAATCTGCGCCTTTCATCTCTGGCGTCTGCCTGCTTTTTGCTTCCAGCATGTCGAAGCGACGCCTTTCTTCGTTCGCATCGGCCTGTCGTTTCTCTTCTAGTACAGCCAAGCGCTCCCTCTCTCGCCTTCGTTCAGCTTCTGCCGCCATATCAAGATCGGCCTGAATTGCTTCTCGCCCGTGCCCTTTCCTCTGCAAGTAAGCGTGTTTGCTGCTCCTGCACCTTGGGTAGGCTCTCGACAAGCTTCTGCTCTTCGACGACGTGAGGCGGAGGACCGCAGACGCCTGGCGGTTGATTGGCGCCGGCTGTTTCAACCCAGAATCGATCACGGCACCCGAACTCTCGAAGGAGCTTCTCCAAATCTGGGGCGGGACAAGTGTCAAGATTGCAACACCGACGTTCGCTGTCGAGGGAGAAACGGTTCCTACATTCGAAGTGCCGGACGTACATGGTGAGGCTGTAGCAGACCCCGCCCAGCTCGCGAAAGATGTTGAAGTCAGAGTTGAGGTTCTCTCGCATGAATCGAAAAGCTTTGAGGAGTGCGGTGGTCATTGCGAAAGGCGAGTCATTGTCTAAGGCTAGCAACACGAAGGATCTGCCGTTCGCGAGTTTTGTCAGGTCAGGCAGCCTTTTGGCAAAAACATTCAGATTGTCCTTTAACTGCGCTGGATCTCTAGCTGGACTAGCATTGCGGCATAGCTCGCCCAGTGGAGTCCTATAATCGCAAATATGGATGCCTTGCCAATATATTGAAGCGCCGCGATCAAGGAGCATTTTCGCCATTGAGGCCTTGGTCCGTCTTGCTGCAATATGCAGAGACTCGTCGTCAGGATTCGCTTTGAAATTGAGTAGGTGTTCCATGCTCTCCAAGCTTCCTACTCTGGTGGCGCATTGCAATGGGGTCCTACCAGACTTATCCTCGACGTTCGCGTTGGCTTGCGCCTCTAGGAGTTGCAATGTAACATCTGGCTGAGATGAAAGGGCTGCTACGATCAGTGGACTGTTACCCGAGCCAGGTGTCCGAAAACTAGGATCCGCTATTGCATAGACATCAGTCAGTGGAACAAAGTTGTCGTGAGAATGGGCTGTACCCACCTCCTTGCTTCAAAAGGATTTCAACTGTACGCTTATCAGTCTGCTGGTCTGCTTGGGCTTGACAGAGTAGCCAAAGCAATGCAGAAGTTTCCTTCGCGCCAAAGACAGGGTCGAACTCCCACAAAAATCGGGAGTCAGGCGGGCACCCGCTATCGAGAAGATTTTGCAATAACAGCGGCTTGCCAGAGTATCGATGTAGAATCTGGTACAAGTGACTCGTCAAAGGGTCGTCTTGTCCAAAATATAAATGTTTCTTTAATTTTGACCGTTCAAAGAACAGCCTTGACAGATTGATAAGGTTTTCCCTAGGAGCGTAAGACTCAAAGACGGCCATGAACGCGGAGCACAGAGTCTGTTGATTTGGCTTTTGGCACAACAATATTTTCACGAGTTAGTACAGATCTCTTTTCACTGCCGTGCAGAGGCATTTTCCCTCGTCGAAACTGACATTCAATAACGACGGCCGTGCAATGACCATATCAACGAATACATTACAAGTAGGATCGAAGGATTTCAAAGCAGTGAGAAAGGCCTAATCAACCGCAGGACCAGCGGCCCCTCCCTCGGGGAGGATCTTGTCAATATTGAGCAGCAAGTCGAGTTTGCTTTGCCATCTATCAATAGAAGTTGACTTCGCCGCGAAAGCCGCGAAGAAGACCGTGTGCGAGACTTTGGATCTTGTCACTAGTATAAGCGACTCAATATCAGCTTGCTCTGTTGCCTTGACCACGGATTCACAACTCCGAAAATTCGGATCCCCACCGCTCTTGATGAGATGTTCGACAAGGGCATGGTCCTTATCAAGAACCGCTCGTATTAGCGCACGATGTATGACTTCTGACTTGGTAATCCCAACACGAGTGAGCAGCCGCACAGACTTGAATCGATCCGGGATGTTTGTGCCAGTCTGCACGGCTGGCGTCTGCATTGCAAGACTGAGAGCCTCGGGCAGATACTCGGAGTTGGGATTCCTCTGGAGCAGACAGTCTAAGATGGACGAATTGACCTGCCGCGGCGGCGATCCTTATGGCTTCACCACTTTGGTAGTTAACAGAAGCATGATATCGCAACAGCATGTCGATGGTTGGCTGTGCATGTGGTCCCTGTTTCACTGCGTCTATCAGTGCAACATGGACTTGTGCCCCTCCCGCACCGTTTTCGAGGAGCGTTTGAAGTATTTGCAGCCTAGACTCTTGTGCGTGATTCATGGCAAGAGGAATAAGCGATGCCAGGACCAGTGATGCTCCGTTACCTTCCAAAAGGAGTTTCAAGACTTCATTCTCGGTGGGCGTTGAGACGACGTGTTTGATAACTTGTCCTCTGAGTAATCGAATCTTGCACCATGGTCAATCAACAGCTTGACAAGTTGAGGATCGCATTCCTGAGAGCTACAAACTTCATGGACCAATGCACGACTGACCTGATCACCCGTCGCACCGCCAATAAGAAGTAGAGCCATGCATGCATATCTCGTATTCATGTCTGGATTATGCATAGCAAAGGGCAACATTCTTGCTAATATAGCACTCTCGCATTTACTGTCGATAAGACATCTGAGCAATTGATTGTTTCGTGAGCTGACCGCAAGTTCCAACGACTTTCCACCATCATAGTTGCAGCTTGCCCCACGATCTAGAAGCCTTTCGATGATATCCATGTCGCTGTGAGACTCATTGCTGATCTCTTGCACCAGGGCCTTGTCGCGACCCTCCTGCTCAATTCCAGCTCGAAGCAGCAAGTCAAGCTTTGCCAGTCTGTCTCCGGTCGCAGGCTCGAGCGCAATTGTTAGAGCCGCCAGGCGAGACCTGTGATTTGGATGACCAGCTTGATGACAGATGCAACGATGTTTTTGTTAGCACACTTGACCGCATTGCACAGAGCTTGCCCTTGATGATGGTCATCGTTGGCTTTGTTCACGAAGTACAGTACCAAGTCCTCGTCCAGAGGCGTCTCCCCAATAGCCTCGGTCAAAGCCTGGTCGACTGCATGACCTTTTGCTCCGTGGTCCAGGAGTATTACCATAAAGTTCATTCTTAGGCGAGAGTCCACGAGTCTCATAGCGACGGGCACTGCTGAGGAAAGCGACGAAGGCTGGGGCGCGCTCCTTACAAGGAGTTCCAGTAACTCTATGGCCCCCCTTCTTGCAGCAGTCTGAAAAGACTTTCCTCGCAAGCAGTTGACGCCCGGGGCAGCCACGATGATATGCCGCAGCGGGGCGTCTGCGTGCAGACTCGGTGTTCGTCTAAACTGCAGAAGGGGGGTAGCGCAAGTGGACATGTGGCAGCAGTCAGTTTGCTACCATTCCTGACCAATTGAATCTCTTTACAGAATTGATACAATGTTTTTTCTCGCCTGTTTCAAAAATAAGCGGCCTCCTGTGTTCATGACTAGGTTCTTGAAAAATCGTAGACCGAAGACCAGATACGGACACAACTTGGGCGGGGGGGAGGTTGGTTTCCGAGACTTCTCGGCAGAGAATGCTGGCAGAGGTCGCATCACCTCATAGCTGCGTTCTCCAGTGTAGAAGACTAGCCTTCTCTCTCGACCTTGTCCCTATTTATTGAGATGGTCATGGCCATAGAGCCATACAACCGATTCATCATGATCTGTGAGTGTGGCCATACTGAAAGACACTTGGCGATTGAAATCTGAAAGCATGATCCCCTGCGGGTCAATAGATGACAATTCTGCAATCCTACCTAGGCTGTAAGGTCTAGATTCTTCAATAAGATGAAGAAATTACAGACCAATGCACCCAACAAGAGGTATCAAACGCTCAGGAGATTGTGCCTTCCCAACTGGGAAACTCAGTTGTTTGTCGCTGCCATAGCATGTTACAAGAAGCATTAGCCTCATCGTCTGCGAGGTAAGAGGACGTAGCAAAAGTCATGCGTACAGAGAATATCAAATTCCAACGAGCAATTGAAAAAAAACCCCCCCCAATCAGCAGTCCCAATAGCTCCATTCTTCCACTGTTGGTTCACATACTTTTGTGGTTATCAACTGAAAACATCTACAGTTCGTGTTCAAGAATTCTAACTAGGAAGAACCGTTTCAATTAAGACCCTCAATAGGAAATGAACTTATGTTATTTTCGGATGCCTAATCGCCCACTCGATGCATGACTCTCGCTCGGTCCTCTCACAACGTGCTATGCGGCAGTAGAGTGGAGCATGACGTGTAAAAAGGTCCAAACACGGCCATATGCTCACTATACGTATTGGTGATACGTCATTGGAGGGTTTGATTTCCTCTATGAAGAACGCATCGCGAAAAGAGGCCGAATTTGAAAGCTCATTGGCCGCCAGATCACTATAATAGGACCCTTCTGACTTCAGCCTTCTCATTGATCAATCCCAAACGTATAGCCCAGTCGTCTCGTCCTGTGGAGCTGATCAATTCATCCGCAAGATCCAGCCGCCTGGCGTACTGCTTGGGTTCGCCGTCGACCTGAACTTTGCAGCCATGCATATATAATGAATTTTGCCACTGGTTACTCATCGCCACCAGGCCAACGGAGAGCAGTAGCAGCGCCAGGATGATCATATTACCGGCTTGGCTTGCGTTGGTTGTGACAGCAGCGTTGATGTAGATCAACAAAAGTGCGACAGCTGTGAGCGAGCTCTCCAGAAAAGTCGCATCACGCAGCCATTGTCCAGCAGTCACTGCCTTGAGAGCCTCAACGGGACCTTGTAGTCGTACCCAGCGATCTTGACTCAACAGGATTAGCAAGTCGCCCTTCACACCCGGTTCCTTCACGCCTTTCCAGCCAGGTGCGCTCCGTCGCCGGACAATGATGGCATTCAGAGTACGCGCGAGTATCAAGATCAGGAGAACGGCCAAGGCCCACCAGTCGTTCAAAAAGCCCACGAGCATCAGGGCGAGCAATGTGAGAGATACTGGTGTGGTGTAGCACACGAAAGAGGGGGTCAAAGTGCTTTTGATAGTCTTGAGATCCGGCTTCCATCTCTTTGGCTCTGGGAGTCCCTCGACGCTCATTGTTACCAAATGTCCTGGGATTCCCATCTTTTGTAGATAGAACACAGTAGCCTGGTTCTCAACTCGGAAAACATGTCCAGAGGTGAGGGCGGCGGTCGGAGGGAGTTCGCCTCCATTGAGCTCGGTAGCATTCGGTTGCGTGTGGATTCCAGGGCAAAGCACGAGGAAGTCGAGAATGCCGGAGGTGCCGTTCAGAGCAGTGTGCTTAGCAATAGTTTTAAGATCGGCTAGGGCTATCAAGCCGGTGGCATCGAGAGAGACCCCCGGTATGGGCGTTTTGCTCCAATGCATGGCTTGTAGCCTGTGGTGAAGCTGAAGTAGACAGGTGGAGTCAATCTGGTGAAGCTGGGGGGCCGGGACCTCTCCAGAGTCTCACCTTCCCCAAGTAAGGTATCAACATCTTCAGTACCTTCAGCATTTTGATTTTTGACCCTCCAAGATTTACGGATGGCGACTCCTGCCTGGGGAACAGCAGATGGATGGTAAGGTGCGTTCTTGTTAACCAGGTTGTCACTGTCCTAGGGCTAGGGCTAGAGTACGAGTAGGGCAATTGACTGAATTGAATTAGAACGTCAACAGAACTGCACACAGATGGAAATGCACCCAGCTATATACGCCCATCCAGGAGAGAGTTGTTTTCAGGGCCCATAGTACCTCCTATGGCTTCATGGCTCAAGTGAAATTCCACTTTTCTGGCATCTCAAATCCACGCAAATGCTCTAACTTCATGAAAACCAACATTCACTTGGCCACTACCGCACCGCAAATTACCAGTCTCAAGCTGCAATTTGCTCACGCCAAAGTCCTCTCGACCTCCAACCGATGAACACCTTGCCCATCTGAACTCGTTATTAACATGCAGTCTAGTCCTGAAAAATCCGTCTTGGATTGCGTCTCCACTCCGGAACCCGACTCGACCTTTGACTCAGTCTCGATTGGTCACACATCTGTGATTCTATCACGTGCAATTGCAGTCCCAAACACCGGCTGTTGACTAGGACTGCCACCGTGGCAGAGGAAGTAGCTCCATCTGGGAGAATGCTCTGACCTCTACCCCATGCACCGCCGATATGGCGACCTTCAGGCCCAGCCCTCGCTGGGGTAGCATCTCTCTTGACGATCTTGCCATTCTCTCCAACCGTAGTCCCCTAGTACTGCCTCCCCTGCTCCACAACGCCACCCGCGTCCGAGCGGGGCTCCTTGAACCCAGACCCGATCTGGGTGCGGCGCCAGAAGTCTTCAGACTTGGCAAATACATTCGTGGGGGGTGTGTGAAGCCTTTACAAGTTGGAGCTATCGAGCTTGGAAATGGGATACACAATGACATACGCCTTTGCACGGCAATCCGCCATGCGCGTGAGAGCAGACCGGTCTGAGACAGCCGACAAGCAGAAGCTACCAGATGCGCTCATTGCTTTGGTCCTGGAACCGGATATCTCAAAATTGTCGTGTGGTATGAGAGCAAGCTCACGGACTAGTCAGCGAGAGATGGCTGTGGTTTTCTGTGACTTCGTGATCACCTGAGCAGATCGGAATCGTAAACTTAACACAGGCATGAGGTAAACAACGCCATCAGCCTGAATGCACTGAAGCTCCCGCCTGAAGTCCCATCTTGTATCCGATATCTGTTTTAACTCGAATGGATAGACATTTTCATATTGACAGCATACTGACCACTCGCGCCAATTTCTTTGCAATCACATCAAGAAGTCTGATTTGGCTCTTTTGTGGTCGTTGGTACGTAATGCGAACCAGCTCCGATGCCCAATTGCCCAACGTAGTGATTTACTACAAGGGGTCAAGTAGGTCGCTGAGTCAGGGATGAGGAAGCTTGCTACATGTTGCAGAACTTCCACACGTATTTTTTCGAGCGTCGTGGCTTTAGATTGCTCGTGACTGCAGTTTTTGGTGACAGGTTCTCCGGATTTTTGCAGTCTCCTAATCTTTCGGCGACGTAGAAACCGAAAGAGCAGGAAGGAAACAAAGGGCATATGAACATCAGTGAGACTATGACACCAGTGCTCAGACTTGGGTAGAGCATGCCAAATAAAGGGTTTGATTAAGCAAAAGATGAAACTCGTACCCCCAGTCACCCGATTTAGTACTGCGTACGGGACGGGGTCCCGGGGAGTTTTAGGCAAGCAATCGTTCCGTCTTAAACACTTGAACAGAAGCTATGTTGTAAGTACTGATACTGTGAAGATGGTTTTTGGAGCGAATAGCAATTATCTGTGCGCAGTACTTGGCATTCGTACAACCTTTATACAGTCCAACTCACCCCTTCTCAGAGGCCTTATATAGAGGCACCTAGTGCGTATACACAAAGAAGACGTTGTTCCGATCAGTCTGGTCGGCATAGGCCATCTTGTCTTTCAAGACCGTCTTCACCTCCTCACTCATACCCGCCAGTTCTCTCTGATTCTTCCTGTTCAGCCAGTCATTCGACACCCTCATTACTACAACCACAAAACACAGCGCCGATAAGGTAGCAATGATGCTGATCTTGCCAGAGATATATCCAGGCGCCTGCTTCGCTTGGAATGTTTGTGTTCCCAATATATTCCCCACACAGAATGCTATCAATGTCAGGGCGTTGGCGGTGACTTTCTTGGAGTGACCTGCGATATTCGATGCGTTCCAAGCCAACAACAGCATGAATGCGGCTCCAAAGGTTCCCGTAAGAAAGGATGCAGCAAGAAGGCCCGCCTTGTTCTTAGGGATCCCGTTAGGATCAAGACCTATCATCAGACCCGCACCCAGTATGGTTGGAAGGATGCAAATCAGCATGACCACTGATCTGTCTCGCCACTTGTCGGATAGGTAGCCCACTAGCAGCACACACACTGCACCAATCGCGCCACTGGGGGTATTGAGGATGAGTGCTTGCTGAGATGTGTAGCCAAAGGTGGTCAGGAGGATACTCGAAAAGTTGGAAAGTCCGCCGTTAGGAATGGAGCTTAGCATGGTAGCGAGGCAAATCAGCCATACTCGAGAGTCTCTGAAAGTCTCGAAGACCTGGTCTCTCTTGATGCGAGCGTTTTGTGTCCCACTTGTACCGAGTCAGCCAAGTCCTGTCCTCTGCAATGTGTAGTCCCCAACATACCTTTGATTGTCTTTGACTCGCAGCAACGCAGCAACTTTCTCGGCATCGGTGAACCTTTTTGCCTTGACGGGCGAGTCTGGCAAAAACAGGGCGACCAATAGCCCAATGACCATGGTCAAAGCCCCAATGGCAATGTAGAAGATCCTCCAGCTCGCGAACCTCGTGTTGGCAAAGCTAACTCCATAGGCGACGAAGCCACCAAAGATTTGAGTGAGGGCGTTACAGACATAGAACCAAGACACGCGTCGGCCTTGCTCTTCCTTCTTATACCACATTGCAATGATCAATATCAGAATCGGGGCAACACTGTTCTGATATTCAGCGTCCGTTCTAGACAAGAACGCTTATCCTCAGACAGCACATACCAGCTCTCAAATATACCCAGTAGAGTCCTAACAATTGCCAGCCCTGCAAATGTCGTACATGCAGCATGAAAACCCAGGATGAGCCCCCATATCATGATGTTTATGCCCAGATACAATCCCAATCGTGATATATGCTGTGCCAGGTATTGCGTAGGGAACTCTGCCACCAGAAAGCCTGCGTCGTCGATCAGTGATCATTCCCTCGTGCCATGCAGAGGCGCAAACTTGGCAGTTCTTGCATACCGATGTAAAACAGCATAGACAAATCCGAATAGTCCTGCCCCTTCAGGTGTGTGTCCGTCCGTATCCCCATGACAGCCGTGTAGGATAACGTGGTCTTGTCCAGGAACTGGAGGAAGTATACGGCCGCCAGCAGTGGAGCGATTGTAAGATCGATCTTCCTGACCAACTTCTTCAACTGAACGGGGTCCTCCAGAATCGCATTGCCAGATTCTGCGATCTCCAGGGACTGAGGGTGATTCTCCAAGAAGGACAGTGCTTCGTCCGCATCTTCGAGCGATACAACTGTGACGGTGCCGTCTCCAATGGCCACCGATGCTTCCCGGCCGTCAAGAGATGCGAAAGGGTCGGGCTTCTCTCGCTCGAGTGACATTCTAGTGGTAGATATGGTGGTGATGAGTGGGAGAGCGCAGGAGTAATCGGAATATGTAGGTTATCCATGCTCTTTGAGCGGGCAGCCGATTTGCCAGATACCGGTATCTGGCTCTGAATGAACGGCATCAAGCTGCTCGACATTCGCATGCCTGATTGGCGTTCCCGACGGTAGAGGAGGGTGCGGATGAAGTCATCCCGCCTCACGAGACCTCTCAATGCCTGTCATATTCGGCACCATGAACGCTTCGTTGTCTGATGGTGGTCGCTATCAAGACTGTTGGTACCGTTCTTTATCATTGCGCACCTTCCTCTTTGAGCGAGAGGATGTAAGGGCGGTAGCGGCGCCAAGCCATAAGAAATGTGCGCCGGCCTGTATATTGAACCATCCGGTAAGGCCTCATTTAGCGAAATATTAAGTAATCTACTTAGATCGCTAGAAATATATTCCTCGCCATGTTTTCATCACACTCACCCTCGATTAATTGCAGTGCTCGAACCCTCTTCTTCTTGGGCCCCACCTCATGTGTGCCTCGTCTCCTGCACGCCTCGCTCACAGATCGAGGCTTGGGCCAGTGATGGAGAATTCGGCATTGTCGAGCTACTACGGAGGTCTGCACCAAAAGTTCTGCACCTGCCCAAGAAAAGGGTCCAGCTGTCGGATAACGCCAAGCCCGGAGGGCTCCCTGGACAAGGCGCTTAGACCTACATTATGCGCTCCCAGAGAATAGTTCTAGAGCCCTCACCACAGGGCTGCCTTCCGACAACAGGATTAGGGCTACTAAAACCTGGCGTCTTGGCAGGTGCAGGACCTTTGGTGCAGACCTCCGTACGCTGCACCTTTATCAAGCTGAGGTATCGTTTCACTCGGCTCGGAGATGCTATCTAAGAATCATCTTGTCCGCCGCCATAGACACACTCACTTTCCTTTTGCTCGGCGCTCGCTTGAGACTCGATTCAAGAATCGAGACTCTCAACCTCAAAAGATCAGTTAAGAACGACGGTATCTCTGTTAACGCACTGTACCCTCTGCCAGTTGACATACGACTTCAGGAGATTGTCTAAGAATGGCTTCGTTCGATGATCGCGAATTTACGCTGATTGCTCATTCGAAATTTAGCGCCAGCTTCTACTCGAAGCTGTAGTCCAAATAGGCGGCGGCGGCAATCTCCTGCACTGTGCTTTTATCATTCAACGTATCTTGCAACACGCTCGAGACTATTTCATTATAATGACTATGCTTACAACGTCTATGAAAAAGCCTACTATAATTTTTCGGGCTTTGATAGTCAAGGAACGGCAATAGAAGTGAAAAGAGGTTCCCTTGTCAGAACCTGACATGTGAGATGCGAAGGGAGGGAGCTAAATTGATTTTCAGGTAGCAATTCGAGGTCATGTTTGCAAGACATCTCTGAGACAAATGTAAATTTCTGTGGTGGTAAATTTTCGCCGAAGTCCGTACCACTGACGTTTCTTGAGAGTTTATAACCGAATCTGCAGTGGAAGCGAAACAAGCCTCCTTGTTCGAAACATTATATTGGCTTTGTCAGTAAGGACTAGCACTAAGCCGACCACGTTGGCTCTGTCATTAGTGATGGCAGAAAGACGGCTGCCATGAGAAGCTTCCAGAGAAGCTTCTAGTTTGAGACTCGCTCCAAATCGCCAGACGAGAATTGCCTTCACCAGGAAAGAGTAGGAAGAGACATTACTCTATCTTCGCTCGTATTAAGACCTTCTTCGCAGGATACCCCATTGTCACCATCTTGGTCAATGATCTGGTGTTTCTGCAGACTCTCTGAATGATTTACTGTTGGTTGTGGGATGGTGGCTGACGAAGAAGGATTCGAATGCAATGGTGTGTTCGGGCTGTCTTCGGCAGATGAAAATTGGTCCATATGAACTTGTGTGAACGGCTGGGGTATTGTCGGATAGTGATTCGACGAGGCTCTTGGCGGAGCATGGCGAGGCTTTGCGGCCGAGGAGTGCCATGACTAGTTGATCTTTGGAGGAGGCATTTAGGGGAGAGAGCTAAGACGGGGGTGTATTGGACTTGATGGGTATGAAGGGGAGAGAGATGAGATGACACCGTACTGACCATGGTCATGCAATACCATTATCAAGGCAAGAATGCTGTGAGGCAGTAGGCTGGACAAGCTGAAAGCTCATGGCCGAAAAGGCGAACTTCGTGCACGTGAGGCTTGCCCACCTCACGCCGCAACATACTCCAGGTAACTTTGCTACTCTTCCACGCGTGTTCAAACGTAAGTAGTGCCAGCAAGAGAGTTCTAAATGCAACCCCGTGAAGGTTCTCGCTTGATTGACCTTCCCGGAGAGCTCTGGAACCAAGGTTGTTCTCACATGGTAAAACCAAGTCGTCCTCTCGAAGAGCTCACAGGCAATGTATCAGAGTTTCTCTTTAACCCAGCTATTTTTCACACAAATTACCAAGGCAAACGCTAATCTACCTTCGTCATCTACAGCAATTTGATCGTCATTGCGCCTGCCCGATGGCATTTAGATCCCTAATTGGACGGAGCATGAATCTTCCAAAGGAATCTAGCTTCAAGCGGTGCGAAGTGGAGGTTGATTAATCTGAGAATTGTGAAGTGTGGCAGAAATGAGAGAAGATGTTGACCATAAAGTCCGTGAACCGCAACTTGGTATAGCAACTGAGTGGAATGCCTAATCTGGAGGAGGTCCATATCTAGGGTCGAAGACACCAATCCACTAATGGATCGGATGAATTTAACCAACAAAGCATTCTTCAGTGGGACAGCTGAATGCTTCCGGGATCTTGAACGTGGGAAGGAGGTTCTTGCTAAGGGCGATATGGATATAGAATTTACCAAACGCCTTTTGAAGTCATCCCAACAGCACGAGCATCAGCTGGACGCCGTATCATGACATGGTTCCCATTTTTGACATCCTCTCCCGAAGTTACCGTCTTGACCAGACGGATGGGCCTTGTGCTCAGGGCTGCACGAAGATTGCATCGAGGATGATGAGTCCACGCTCGGAGCTTCTTCTTTTGCCAGACTGGGCCTTTGGATTGGTCTTGAGCGCCGAATCAGCGCATGCTGTCCAGACGTCTGTTGACGAGGAACTCTCGTGACCAGTGATAAGTGTCGTAAAGGCTGCATATGTGGAAAGGTAGAAGGAGGAGCAATCCGCTGTCAGGGCACCGAGACGAAGATATGTTAATTCATTGGAGTCTTTCTTAGATCTAGTAGAACGATTGTCGAGTCAGTGAATGAATGATAAGGCCAAAAGATAGCGGAAACATCGTACAAAGATGCTCGGAGAACCTCGCCCGTTGAATCTGGATTAATTAAAATCATGTCTATCCGCCCATGCCATTATTGTGAATCTCAAAGCCATCATGAAGGACAGGCTAGAATTCATCCATGCCTGCGATCGGTCAGTGACAAGCTGACGAAACGGAAAAGTGCCCTATAGGTCCTTAGTCTTGACAGCTCGTTTGGCTTTTTGTTCTTGACTGTCCTGTCACGGTATCATTGTGGTCACCCGGAGACATCAAAAGAAGGTCGTGCTGCTATTGGACAAAGAGTTGAGGAAGCGAAACGAGTAGATACATGAGACATTGGACCAAGAGAAAGAGAGGGTTTGGCATTGCGAATATCGCAAGGCTGGGCTGGCGAGTTGTTTCCCGTGTATGGCCCAAATCAGGAGCTCATGGCCAACGCAGAGCGTGCGGCTTTCGCTTTTTTGGCATAGCTGCGTACGCAGGTCACTTGTTGGGTACCAAGAGGGTACCGACGAGGAAGTCACACGCGGGCTTCTGGATGTCTCCAGGGGCCAGGACGAAGCGCAGATTTCCCAGCGTTTCCGATGTTACCATTGCCAGCAGCCTTCTGCGTTGAGCGGCGCCTTTCTAATGCCTGGTACGGGAAGCGGCCGAGGAGGCTTCACCGCCCCAGTGCCTCATCAGAAGAAATGCTAAGGCATGCGGAACGGTCAACTTCGTCTACCGCGCCGGTGAGAGATTAGGGGCAGAGTCGGAACCTTTCTCGCCGGCCGTTTTGTTTTAACTGTGACATAAAGGTTGCAGACCATATGGTTTCACGGCCTGCAGACGGCGGGGCTGAGCATATGACGCTGCTTCCTGTCCAGCAAATACCGGTTGCTTTGAGACAGGGCCAATTTACTCTAGTGCATAGCTGCATCATTCTGGACTGCTTCATCCGCCCAGGGTCTCCTGACTCTGGAGAATGAGAAAAACTGCACTAAGATGACATCGAGACTCCGTGGAGCAGCGAGCTCACCAAGAACCAACGGCTTGAGGATATTGGAGAATCACTTTCTCAAGATGCGCCTTTCCGCTTGCTAAAGATCCTTCTAGCACAGCCTCGGTACGTCTTTTTCCAGGAGATTAATAGGACAGAAAGATGAACCAAGTGGAGAATGAGAAGTGACACGGATTGAAATATTGGGGGATCTGCAGATCGGCAACGCGAGGACGACAACATCCTGTTAGCGTCCTTCTAGCGTCCTTCTAGATCTCTTTTAGCGGATCACCCTTTCTTGACGCCTATGGAGGCCGAATTACGCGCCCAGAGCAAATCAGAAAGTACTATACCTAGGCAACAATTCCTTTACGCCTGTCATTCGTCCAGAGGGATCGAATAACTTTCTCCGCAACACCACGTCGCTCAGCCTTCTGGCCCGTGCTTTTTGTGCAACTCGGTCTTATAGCTCCACAAAGTTCGTTTGCACGTTCATACCACTGGCAGCACTACGCTTCTACATCCTCTTCGCAAACTGACAGTCTTAATGAGGAAGTCGTTGCGAAGGCGAGATAAGCACAGCCTGCCTTCTCCACACGATTATGTACGAGTATACCATCTCATTCTTGCAGACTCCACTCTCGTTGCGACTGCCGTAATTACATACTGAAGACGTTCGTCCTCAACTCGGGATAGCGTGCCGCTGAGGAACTCTCTGGTCTTTGGCACCGCCCCAGATTCAACAGTCTCCAAGTCTCATATGGTCTGCTATTTGACTTAACGGTGATGCTGCACGGCATGTCATGGAAACGAAGTTGTATAAGAACCGTGGGCTGCCCTCCCCTTTGCCATACATCAGGGGTTCCTTGAAGTTCTCTTATTTTACCTACGTCGTAAAAACCTCATTGCTACTCTGAAGACTGTGGTAGACTTCCCCATCTGAGAGCCTTCAGCACATCAGATCTGCCCCACCCTTACTCGTCACTGATATCATGGAACGTATCTCAAAGTTCAACCTGGTCCATCGCTTTGAGAAGCGAGCACTTTTGATCGCCATCAACTGCGTTGCTGCACTCTCTATTTTCTTCTTTGGCTATGATCAAGGTGTGATGGGAGGAGTAAACACCGCCCGAAGCTACGTCGATATCATGAGCTTTGGCCACTGGAACGATGTTACCAAGTCTGTGATCATCGACAAACCTACCCTTCAGGGAGGCATTGTGGGTGTTTTACCTCATATATTTTGCTTATGTTGATAATCTCAGGTCGCTGTCTATTACTTGCCAGGTACCCTTCTTGGCGCCTTCCTCGGTGGCTACATCGGTGATAAATTTGGGCGCATTAATACTATTGCTGTGGCGGCCGCTTGGGCGATTGTCGGTGCTTGCCTTCAATGCTCTGCTCAAGACTATACCTGGATGATATGTGGTACGTAACAATACCGAGATTAATGTTTGCGTACGGCTAATGCTTGCAGCTCGCATATTCAATGGTATTGGGACTGGCATATTGAACGCAATTACCCCAGTCTGGGCGACCGAGACTGCCGAGCACACCTCCCGAGGTCAATTCGTCGCTATCGAATTCACACTAAACATATTTGGGGTGGTTGTTGCCTACTGGATTGAATAGTGTGTACCTCATTCATGCTTCTCGTAATGCCTTCGACTGACAGATCTGAGTGGTACCTCCTTCTATGGCGGTACGTATAATTTGACTTTTCTCATCCCACGTGTGACTTAGATCTTTTCACATCACGTTCCTCGGCCGCAGAGAGCTCTTTCGACGCCCGAAATATATTCGTCAATGCTGACTCCAGTTCTACGTAGACGGAACATCTGATTTCATCTGGCGCTTTCCCATCGCGTTTCAGATCGCACCACTCCTGTTCCTCCTTGGAATCGTCTTTCTCATGCCTGAATCCCCTCGTTGGTTAGTCAAAGTGGGTCGTGAAGAAGAAGCCCGCTATATTCTTGGTCGACTGCGCGGAGAAAGCGGCGACGAGGCCGAAAAGAGCGAAGCAGAGTTCCAAGACATTCGCAACATCTGTGAACTTGAGCGAAAGACTGCCAAGCAACAAAACTACTTCCACATGTTCTTTGGGATTGGATCTGGGAAACTCCATACTGGTCGCCGGGTCCAGCTCGTGGTCTGGCTACAAATCATGCAAGAGTGGATCGGAATCGCCGGTACGTACAAGAAAATGCTTGGACAGCATACTGCGCTTCTGTTACCTGAACTCTGCCTTATAACCCAGGTTTTTGCGCTGAATAAGCCCCGCTGATATCCGAATCTGCTCAGGCATTACTGTCTACGGCCCCAGGATATTTGCAATCGCTGGTATAGCACCTCAGGACCAGGTATGTATTTTCAGAGTCCAAGTATCCCTTTTCGAATTATATCCTTCGCTTCAAGCCATCAATTGGGAAATATTCCCTCCCCGGATATGTTGCAAGGCGCATATTCCCATCAGCATCAGGCAATGCTGACTGGTCCAGCTGTGGGTTACTGGTCTCAATGATATTACCTACATGGTCGGTGGTCTCATACTCACAGCGCACTCCTAACGACACCACTGACAAACATTCCAGCTCTCCACTCTCGTCTGCGTATTCACGCTTGATCGAATTGGCCGCCGTTGGACCCTCTACTGGGGCTCCGTCGGCATGGGGATCTGCACTTTCCTGGTCGGCGGCCTTTCTCGCATCGGACAAAACGCAGCTATTGGGTCCTCCACCAAAACTGGTCCGTACATTACTTCTTGACTCTCCCTCTTTGGTGTTGGAAATCAAATAGTCAGAGATGTTCCGGCAGCAGGAGGTGCTATACGGTTGCCAGATATGTCTTTCAAGTTTGGATTTTGCGTAGAGGAAGCAGTACTAACACCAACGCTTGCTAGGTTCTGGAGTCGCAGCTACCTTCTTTGTCTTTCTCTTCACCGCCATTTTCGGCGCGACTTGGTTGACGGTACCGTGGCTCTACCCGGCCGAGATCTTCCCTCTGGAGATCCGCGCGAAGGGTAATGCATGGGGTGTAGTAGGGTGGAGTATTGGTAACGGCTGGCTGGTACGTCTTTGGGTCCCTTTCACCCTCGTCAAGGCTTTCACTCGAAAGGAGGGAACTTAGGATAATCATCCTGACCTTGGGATCCTTTCTTTACGCCGTGACTAATCGTTCTCTAGGGACTACTTTGTCCGGTCATGTTTGCCGCTATCAACGAGAAGACCCTTTACATCTTCGGCATCTGCAACGCCATCACTATCCCCATGGTCTGGGCCCTGTACCCAGAGACAAACCAAAGGACTCTGGAAGAAATGAACCTCGTCTTTGCCTCTGACTCCATCTGGAACTGGGAAGCAGAGAAAAACTTCGCGATCTTGAAAGAACAGAACCCGCAGCTGGTGCAGGCGGCGAGGGATAGAAGCGTGGTGGATGCGGAGAACCCTAAGAGGGGCGGCAGTCTGGCGTTGGCAGGTTCAAGCGGTGCGGAGCGTAGGCATGGGACTATTGATACTATTGAATTGAATGAGTTGTGATGAAGTAGGAGAGGGAGCCGGAATGCTTGCTCTAAGTATGAGCCCGGGGTGTGCAAGATGATCACATGGGTGAGATGTTGAGAGTCAGCTCTGGGGGGTTGGAAAGCGGGATTTTGCGAGGTCTCATATCCAGGGAGAACGCGCTTTGCGCACAGGCACTCATTTGGAGGTTTTCTCTATTTCTTTCTTATTCCCTTCCCTTCGGATCTGCTAGTACACCTTCAGGTTTCATACGTGTTGTTCAGATATGGGCTCAGCGCGCCGTCGCCGCCGATTCTCAAATATATACAACGAGGTGGTTGGTACATTGGCTTTTCTTTTGTTTGTTTCACATATGTCCATTTATTTAATCTGATGATAATGGAGAATATTCGGCCTTGCAAGTTGGTGATTTGGCGAATTCATTCTTCCCTTTCCTGACCTGGTGAGCTCAAAACCTTCATCTTCGGTAGTGTCCAGCCTTGAGCCCGGGCCAGCTGGAAGGGGAAAGTAAGGTTAGTGGAGCCTTGACTATCAAACACCGCCTACTCTCGCTGATGCTTGATGGGATTACCAGATGTTTAGTCACAGATAGATTGCTCTAATTGCAAAAAAATCCCAAACTTTTGGCGGCTACGCTCAAGCGAACTCTTCTCGTCCTTGGTCGGCAGTACTAACATCAATCCCAGACGCTAGCGCCATACTGGAAGCCTAGGTACGCCTAGTCATCTCCCTGGCAGTCCTTTTTGTGGAGATATTTATGATCATGAGTCCAGCTGCGCCATCACGGCCTCGAACACCAGCGAAATAGTTTACACACGATCCATTAACCCTTCAACCACTTTCAAGCCCTAGAAACCTTACCATAACAAGGCCCAATCTTCTCGTCCCTGACTCAAACCAGTCCGGTACCGTTATTGATAACAGACACGCGTCCAAGCGGCAGTGGTGCTAGCCGCTTCAACGACCTTACTGGAGGCCCAGGTATTGCGCGTCAAGAGCAATGCAAAACGAAGTACTGTGACAGTGGTTCTGATCTTCTGCAGTGAATGGTTGGCCGGGAGTGTTTGTAGTCTTTTGAGGCAGGTGGCGAAGGGAGAAGGGGGCATTTTGGGTCAGGGGAAGATTGAAGGTTGAGATTGAGATTGCTGGAGGCCGGCATGAAGGGTCGTCAGATATTTAAAAAAGGTTGTAGGAGACCACTTTCCGCATTCTATTGATACTGGGCGGGTGCGTCAAGAGCGCTTTAGCACGGAGGATAGTTACCTCAAGTCTATATTTGATTCGCAAACTCAACTCACGCTATCATTTACCCAGGTTGTTCTGCGCCATTCGTCCTACCAGGTCATTTTTTCCTGGCCTCAACTACCCTTCCAATCCAAAGTCGTCCTTCGTAAGAGCCTCCAACGACGGCCTTTATTGCCATGCTCAACAAAGTTAGTCGTCAAGCTCCCTGTGTCAAAACGGAATTGGTAGTGTATATAACTCTCAATGCTCGAACCTGATGCGGTTTCATGACCTCCAGATTTCCCGGAAGCCAAACCCCCGTTCCACTCTGATCGAGCTGGACTGCTTCTGTGACATCTACGAGGATATCGCAGGCGGGATGTTTAGGCGCCATGCGGATAAAGGTTCTAACACGGTACGCCTCCGCCCCTTGTTCGGCCGTGACGGTGGGATATGATTGTATATTGTTTCAGGACTATTACGGTATTGATCCTGTCAAAGTTTCGATCTAAGAATGTTTGCCTTGCATACGAGTCTGAGCCACAAGTGAGCAGACTCCAGACGACCTACCATCCAGACAAGCTGTAAGAACAAGTCCATCTCCATTACGCTGGAAACGCCAAAGTCACTCTGTGTGCACTTGTAAAGATCTGAGGATGTCGCCCTAGCCAGGTCGAGGATCTGGTGAGTGTCATGAAAGTCTCCGCGTTTCCAATAAGCGCAGGTAAAGATGTGTGTTCGAACATCAAACGTCATACTGCTCAATTATGCTATGCAGTCTCGCAGCGTCGTAGGGATCGAAATAGTCTCTCACCACAAACTCGCCGAAATCTTTGAGTATTACTAAGGCGTGAAGAAGTTGGTGCGTGTATCTGCCACGAAGTAACCGAAAAGGATCATTCACATTCGTAGAGATAGAGAGATTCAGTGGGAATACAACCCCTTGGCAGTCGACACCAAACAGGTTGACGGCAAAGGCATCAAGATCCTGGCTGGTCACGACCAGTGCCGTCCTTGTGTGATGGCGTAGATTTGGTCTATGAACAGTCAAAGTGCCGAGGTGTCCGGTGAGAATTCGGCGGTACGTGATGCATGTGGACATCCTCTTTCAAGCAAATTCATCGTCGGTCTTTGCCCAGCGAGCAACAACTGTCAGCATACGATCAGACAGCTCTCGCAACAGATCTGGACTAGGTTGTTTGTTTTGATAAAGACGAGCACGTTTTAGCGGTAGGAGACTTATGTCGCCTCTTCGTAGATTTGCCGATTGACGTAGAGCAGGCTGTGGTCGATGTCTACTTCAATCCCCATGGTGTACTGGCGATATCTTGTGGTCTATGCCGAACTGCGTTCAGGGTGTAATAGTATACCTCGTTCCAAAGTTCTGCTGCTTGATCAAGAAGGTGGAATGAGGGTAATGCCCCAGTTGCGGCATTACCAGTTCGGGAGCTGGGGTTGCTGTCCAGAGTGGCTAGCATGTGTGGATATATTTGTCACAGATGATTTTATTGCAAAGATTTAAAGGCAGAAGACAGAAGACAGAGTGAACTAGGAGATGGGGTAAGCGAACCGTACTCTATGCTTCTAGGCAGATGCTGATATTGGGAAGCCTGCTAGCAATGGAGAGGGGGGAGGAAACTTGGTGGACATGGCTGAGAGCCATGGATTTTTTGATATTAAAGAGGATTTATCGGGTAAGGACAGAAGCCTCTAGAGGTTTCTGTTTCGAGGCATTCGGAATACCTGACTACGCGCAAAGGTACGAGACCAAACACTTAAACGTCGATGTGGACCAGATTGAGGACAGGATTCTTCGATCATACATGTACTGATCAGCGAGCTGGAAGGAACATATTCCATTCTTCCAGAAAGCTCCTATTTCATCCAGGTATGATTGGCCTGAACTGCTGATCAAAAATAGACCAAAAGGCCACTCCCAAAATTAGCTGAGTACCCCAGTATTTCAACTTCGAAGTCGCAATCCACAAACTCAAAATCGTTCAAGAAGTTGCTGATGCCAGTTATCGTTGTCCCCCACATGCTCCATGTCAATCTCGGATCGGGGTGAAGGATCAATAATGAGTGGCCAGAGCTGGCCTGGATCTCCTCCGTATCCATAGGTCCGTCGTGGCCGAGATTGATTTCCTTGATGACTTCCAACGCTGCTTCTAACAAGCATGCTAGTACATCCTCGCGCTTGAGGGTCCTCGAATACCGGGAGAAGGTGATGACTTGCGACGACTGGGGTACTCTGTATGAGAATGGGTCTGACGGCAACACGCTGCTCGATGTGGAATCAGTCCTGCTTACTTCATTAGCAATAGGTTGAGCGTACTCTAGAGGCTGCGGAAGTGTCCAATTCGACACAGAAGTGAGGTTTGGGTTAGGAAGAACGATGGTATTAGAACCCAAAGCTGCAAGACCGAGAAGATACAGCTGAAACAAGACGAGAATATCTGTTTTCTTGTAGGTCCCCATTGCGACGAACGTTTGACGAAGGTGACGCTGTCAGGAAAATCTGCAAGACAGAGAGACACTAGAATAATATGATACATTTCCAACCACAGGAATTAGGAGATTATGCGCTCGGCACGCTTAGATAAATCGATCAGACAGCTCGCGGAATATTTAGCAAGCGCACCACTCGCACACGAAATCTATTGAAGGCTTGAAACGCCACCAAGATGTGGACCCTTCAGGCGGAACAAAAGCGCCAGGACGAGCTGCAAGATTAAATCGTTTTTAACAGGACGAAAGAAGGCCTTTTTCGAAGAATGAGAAGGATCGATCACTGTTCACGAGCAGTTATATCAAGGTTGTTTGAACCACAATGTTTAGCGCCACGAAAAAGTAGATATGGTGCTTCAGGCAGATCAAAAGACGCGTCGCGGAGCTGGAAGTAAGCTTGACCAGAAACTGATTGGATGGAATATTGAACTTGCGCCCTAAAGACCCGCGGTATTTTCCCTGACAGTTTCTTCCAGACCAGTGAATCCCGGTCGGCCGAATGCCTTCAAGAGCGCAGCTCCTCTCGAGTTATTCAACTTGCTTAAATCTCGCGGCTCATCCTCAACGTCCGTCGGAAAGTTCTTGTCAGGGTGGATTTTACGCAAAACCGCCAAAACGTCATTCCAATTATAAGGGTGTGCAAAGGCCAGTATCCGCTCATTTTCCACTTCTGGATCTAGAAGTGCAGCAACATGCAGTCGTGCTGTATCTTTAACATTGACCACTACGAAGTTCAGCTTAGCAAGTCCGCTTTGAAGTACAAATCGAGTTGTGGAGCAGTTTTGGGGGTCAGTCCACTCCTGCAACGTGTCTTAAGACTCCAATAACGGTATGAATAAGAAGGCCAAGGGCTGGGAAACGTCTTACTCCACTGGGGAGGGACGTCCTTGACGGCGTTAAGGTTTCTATTGTACACACTCCTGACCCACCCTCCTGTCGACGCGGGTTGCTTGTCGCTAAGGATCTCTCCCATGTTGGTGTTTGGCAACACTGCGTTCAGAACGAAGCCTGGTTCATGCTCTTTCACAAACTTCCACATTTCCTGCTCAGCTTGCGTCTTACTCGCGCCGTATGGACTCCATGCTCCTTTTGCTTCAAACGGAGGAGGTTCCCAAGCTGCCTTGACGTCCTCGTTGTTCCAATTTTCTGTGCTGATTGTGATCTCAACATTGGGTCTGGGCGCGGTGATGGCAGTTGAAGAAGAGGTGTAGACGAAGCGTTTGACCGAGGTCTGTTTGGCAGCAGAGGTAGCTGCGTTCACGGCTCCATTCACTACAGTCGGTATGACCTTGTTGGGGTCAGAGTTCGAAAGTGAGGACGGAGGCTACGTGAGCCACACCGGAGACGCCTAAACATGGGTCAAGTCAGTGATTTCATTGCCCACCGAGTCCGAGTGCCAGAAGCGTACCTTTACATGCTTCATCAAAGGCACCACTTTCTGCCATGTCTTTTACTACCACAGCTTCAAATTTGCCCTCGCCGTACCTCTTGTCAAACATCTCGGTAATCCAGGCGGTTTTGGTCGTGTCTCTGCTTGTACCCCGCACCCGGTAGCCAGCTTGAATGAGCTGGTCGGCAACATGGCTTCCAATGAAGCCGTTAGCGCCGGTAACGAGCACTGTGGATCCGGGAGGGATAGCTGGAGTTCTGCCATTGAAGTTGGGAGATGACAGACCGTCGGTTGGAGGTGAAGGATGGAGGAACAGGTTCTATTTCTTGGCTGTAGAGCTAGGGCTAGGGCTGGAATAACCGAACGATGATAAGGGAACAGCATACAGGCAGGTATGCTCCTGTTTATGTACATGAGATGGCTCAGAGAGCAAGGCCATGACTTCATCCGATCCCGGTACCAACCTTTTACAAATGCCCTCGTCATAAATATTAGCAATCAAACGACGTGGTTACCGTATTCGACAAACTAATAAGAAATTTATCACCTTCCGATCCATCTAGGACATTCCTACTCGAAACAGCAAAGATCTCGATATGTTTCCATACGAAGTCTCACATCATATGAGATATACCACTGGCTACGGCATAGCTGTTCTTTGCATGTAACATCTTTACGGCTAGGCATGCGGATTTGTCATATGATACGTAACGTCAGATCAGACCTCCCTTGTCATTTGGCAGTCATATGTGGCCAAACGACCGCACTAAAAAATATCTACTACTATATTTACTACATTCTGATTGGTTAATTAAGCTCCTAGACAAGTATCGGATGGTTTTAATTCGTTGAAATAGCTATCGTCCGATCTTTGTCATTATTCTAAAGGGGTCTCTTATTTAAGTTCGACTCTTATTTAATATATAATTTCTATAGATTATTTAATCTTCTAATACTATTAAAATTAATTAATAGAAGACTAGTATATTTATATATTATTAAGTTTTAAATAAATATTATTACTACTTTTTATAATAGTAAATAATCTTAGCGTAATTTTATACTATAGATAGATAGTTATCTCTATTCTTTCTATATACTTCTTTATAAAATATAATAATAAATAATTATTTTTTATAATATAAGATTATTAAATATAAACTATTTTTAATAGATTATAAACCGAATTTTTATTATTGTAGTCTCTATACTATTAAATAGAAATACTTATCTATTTAATAATTTAGTATTATAGAAGTTAAATAAATATTTCTATATTCTTATTATATATTTTCTATTTATTTTTTTATTTTTTCTTTTATAAATAGCTATATAAGATAATTATATAGATATTTAATATATTATTAAAATCGATATAGATGTAATATTAATATAGGTATATTGAATAAGATAACTAAGATATCGAACTATATAGATAGAAAGGAGGCATGATATAATAGGAGATGCCTCCGCCAAGGCCCGCTAGCCATAGGGCTGAGGGGTGTATTAAGGGTACGCTCGTAATACTATCCCCCCCCTTCGTTAAATTATATTCTATAATTAATAAGTGGAAAGATAGAAAAATAGATATGTATGCACGCTTAACGTCTGAAAAAATAGTAAAAGCAGTAAAGAAATAACCGTATCTGGGATTTTCTAGTATAGTATCTTTCTTTAAGGGCGGTATTAGTAACGATAGTAGCTCTTCTTAATCGTACTGTAGCGACGTCGTTAGCCGTGATTTAGGCGTATATAGAGAGTCTAGCCGAGAGGAAATCGATATAATATAGCGAAAATAATGTTTATAGACGTAGGGGTAATTAATAATAATTTCCGAATCTATATCTGAGTGGGTGGAATGTCGGTGAAATAATGCGACGTGATTAATCGAGAGCTCTCGAACCGAACCGAGCTATAGGCGCTAAAAACCCTAATTCAATATCAAGTAAGTTTCTCCGTAGGGTATCATATAATCGATATTAATAAAGGCTATCGACGATAACAGTGAGGTCCATAGATAACGCATTATAACTTCGGAAGATACTTAGATATTAGTCAGCAAGGGGACCTTACGCGAGAGGCTATATATGATATGATTTCCGATCGATATAGGCCTAGGGGATCGATTCTCGGCCCTAAAAAAATAAGGGTATTGCGAAGATATCGGATGGTTTCAATTTAATTAAAAACGAAGTGTCTGAGGTAATTTCGAAATTCTATTAATTAATTCTTTATAGGTGAGGCTCTTCGAGATATCGCTTATGGAAGTCGTCTATTAGGTCCTAGCAATTTTCGAATTCACCGCCGTCCGCATTATACCAGATAAGGTTATTATCGAGGCTTTTCCACTTAACTTTATACTTAAGACGGCCATAGATTAATTTAGAGTTAAGTATTTCTTTAATAATCTATTCGATCTAATTATTAATAGTGACATACTCCGGCGAAGGATTTATCTACCTTGATAAGGGGTTATTTACCGCGAGATTTAAGAGATTAGAGTGAAAGACGTCGTGGATTCTTATACTTAGTGAAAGCTCTAGACGATATAAGGTTTTCACAAGACCTATAATCTTAAATAGATTAAGTCTCTTATAATTTAATTTGCGGAAAGGGCGATTGAAGATAATATTCTTACTATTTAGAAAGACCTTATCGCCTATTTAAAAAGTAACCTTTTATCGATACTTATTAGCTTATATAATTATAGCCTTCTAAGCGCGGTCTATATTACTTCGAATATACTTAAGAACTTATTTTATATAGTTTATAATATTCTCCGCCTAAGTAGTATTAAGATATTTATATATAATCTCATAGTCGATAGTATTCGAGCTAAAAGTTATTCGAGGATAAAATCCCTTATTTATAAGGAAAGGTAGGATATTAATAGTCGATAAAGTAGTATTATTATCGACGAACTTGATAATAGATAATTATCTTATCTAGTCGTCCTATATATAGTTATAATATATTCGAAGATAACGCTTTATATTCTAATTCGCTCGTTTAATCTATTCGTTAATTTTAGAATAAAAGGCTATTAATAGCTTAGTTATAATATCTAATCTCTCATAAAAAGACTTTCATATAATAGCTATAAATTAAAGGCCTTAATTCGATATTATTAAAGCCGATAGATCGTGTAAATAAAATACTTTCTTAAGTAATAAGTTAACTATCTTCTTAGCGATAATATCTTTATCGATATCGAAATAGGCTACGTAGTAATATTCCTTAATAAGCCTATCGATCGCTATCTAAATAGCGTTATAGTCGTCAAACATCGGCAAGCCTATAACGAAATCGATCGATATATCTTACTATCGTTTCTATGAAATTGATAGAGACTATAGTAATCTATACTCTCGATCGCGAGGCGCTTTAATTCTTTAATAGGTATAGTAATTCCGAATATAGATGGCTACTATCGCTCTTATTTCTCGTTAGTAATACTTTCTTTTAAGTAGTTTATAGATATAGACTACCTTAGAATAATCGTAGAATAATTGATTATATATCTCTCGGATAACATTAATATATATGTTATCGGATATTCATAAACGATCCTTATAGTAAAGTACTCCATTCTATACGGAGCACTTGTTGAGAGTAATCCCTCGAAATTTATTCTTACCTTCGGTAATAGCGTTACGGATTTTCGTATAATAATTATCCTCCTTATTAATCTCTACTATCTTATGATAAATAGAGTTATTAATTATATATATATCAATACTTTTACTATCTAACTTTAATCGATTAGAGATAAAGATTGTTTAATGCTATTAACGTAATCGTTCGTTTCTAAAATCGATTAGTTTATATCTAGTTATTCGTATAAGTATATCCGCCTTAACGTTCTAAGGTTCTAATTAATAGATGATCTTTATATTAAATTCGGATAGTATATTCAAATAGCGGGCCTAGCGACGACTAAGATCTCTTTCTTCGACGAAGTATATTAATTCCTTATAGTCCGTAAAGATCTTAATAGGAATATCGATATATTCCAATTTAGAACGCTAGTGTTCAAGATAGCGAATAATGGCTAGTAACTCCTTATCGTAGATCTAATAGTTGTACTTGACTAAAGTGAGATTCTTATTATAGAAGGCTATCGAGTGAAGTACTTTTTTATTATCGTATTAAGAAAGAATATCTCCATTAACGTAGTCGAAAGAGTTAGTCTCTAGAACGGCCTTCTTTATTCTATCGAAATAATATAGAACTAAGACTTTCGTAACGACGACTTTCAGAAAATAAAAGGCCTCTTAATATGCTGGGGACTAATCAAATATAGTCTCTTTTGCGATGAGTTTTACTATAAATTTAACTATTTTAGAGAAATCTCTAATAAACCGCTAGTAAAAATTGCAAAATCTAATGAAGGTCTATATCTCTTTAAGATTGATAGGTATAATTTACTCGATAATAGTCTAAATTTTAATAAAGTTTATTCATAACCCGTCTATAGATATTAGTAGGCCTAGAAATTTGATTTCCTAGACGTAGAATTCGCACTTAAGAATATCTATCTAAAGGCCGGCGTCCCTTAATTTCTAAAGGATTTATCTGACGTATTGAATATATTTCTTCTTTATCTTACTATAGATAAATATATTATCGAGATAGATCTAGTAGAAGTCATTTAGATACTTAAATAGAATGTTATTTATATATTATTAATATATGGCCGGGCCGTTAATTAGATCGAAGGGGAGGACTCGATACTTATATGCTTTAAGGGAGGTGATAAAAGTAGTAAAATCCTCGCTATCGGGGTGTATACGTAGTTTGTTGAACGCGGCTATGATATCCTTTATTGGTGTTGGCTATTTCTTTCGATTCGCTAGCCGTACGAATGGTCCAATGCCTTATTTATCTCTCGACTACTATTTGCCGAGTCCGATTCGCTTTGAAATCGAATTACCTATCTGATAGGCTTACTTAGAGATACGATGGCTTAACTTAGTTTCTTACCAAAGCCTCTACCAGCGCGTTTCTTTAAATTCATCCGCTAATACGAATGAAATAAGTGAGTTAACCTTAGTTATAGTATTAGAACCGATATAGATACAATATTAATATAGATATATTGAATAAGATAACTAAGATATCGAACTATATAGATAAAAAGAAGGTATAATATAATAGAGGATACCTCCGCCAAGGCCCGCTAGCCATAGGGCTGAGGGGTGTGTTAAGGGTACGCTCGTAATATATATATATAACTATATTAATTTAAATCTAGAATTTCTTAAAGTTTAAAGAATAGAAAAATTATTAATTATAATTAAAGAAGATAAAGTATATTTTAAAATATTATAATTTATAAGACGTAATAAAATAAGACGTAATAAAATAAGACGTAATAAAATAAGACGTAATAAAATAAGACGTAATAAAATAAGAATTAATATTATTTCTAAATAATTT